TAAGTTAGACCACAAAGAATAAATATTTATTTCCATACTGTAATGCAGACTTTAAAATAGTTAGTGCATTGAGTGAAATTTAATTTTCTTGAAATTTCATAATTCAATAGGTTTCCTGATTTGTCGGAATTCATTGAAAAGTTGTAGTGCTTTGGCATTGAAATTATTTCTAAGCTATGAAATTCATTCTGTAACATAAATAAAGTATAATTATTTTTTGTACACTGAATTACACTATTGTTTATAATTGTGCACTCTTTATTAATGTATGAGTTATCAATCTACTTAGGTCAAAAGTAGTATTGCATGTACTTAGTGCAAGGGGGCTTAATTAACTTAAGGGAGATAATCTCTGTACAAAATCTATTATACTTTATGATTTGGTTATAGTAAACATAAATTAAGATTGAATCAAGATTATGTTGAGCTATGTGATGCTTCAGTTTTAAAACGTTTCTTTAGAAACAGTCATGTGATGTTAACATAAATCATTGAATAAAATTTTGAACTGGGTCCTAGATTTTTCTGCACAAAACATCTCATGTTGTTTTTTTTTTGTTATCTTTTGGAATAATGTTATTGTTTTCGTTTTGTGTTGGGACAAAGCTTGTAGAACAATGTTATAGTCGTTACTATCATGCTGCTCTATATGAAATAGGTTATTCTGTTCTATGCAACAGCGACTTGCAATAAAAAGTCCTGAAAATTGTTCATAGACAGTCTATTATGCTGATAATCTGTCCGTCACCTGTTTTCAGATGAAACAACCAGTGGTTTAACCTGTGGACTTTAGTGAGGGCCGTATTAAAACGTTTTTACATTGTAGAGAATCAATGCTATGCAGCAAGTATATATATATATATATACAAATTTATTTATATACATACCTCTACCACATATTTTTAACCTACGTATATTACTCTACTAGTTACAATAATAAAAACAATCAGTCTAGAATAAAAGTTAGGTGCATTTTCCTCGCTTCTCTAAATAGTCATAAATTCTAGAAATATTTTGCCATGTTTTATTTTGTCTCAGATATGTTGTCCATCATGGTATCCTTTTTTCCCTGATATATTTTGTCTGAGATCACAGATATATATATATATATATATATATATATATATATATATATATATATATGCATATATATTAACCCCCGGCCTTCATCTTACGGAAGTACTTGAACATACAAGCAACAACAGAGATGTTGGCTTTGTAACAGGTTTGGTGTAAATCAATAACTATTGATCAAAGTTATCAACGTGGCTAAGTTTTCCCTATTCGCCCGATTAGAGGATTAACCTTCTTAATCCTAAAACAAAACAGATTAGCTCTTTTATTGTATGTGTTGGTTTAATTGATCTTATATTACGTACACAAGTCTGGCGCAGCAATTCTGTTGGTTGGTTGTTTTTTTGTGGTTGTTTTTTTTTGTTGCTATTTTAAAGCAATGCTGTTTAGATTTTCAGTGCGTAATAAGCGTTCACTGGAAGACTTTTGGCGGGGACCCATGCAGGCTATACCATGCTCCTCTAAATCTTTTAAACGTGCTCAAACTTTAACCTTTTCCTCCAGCGTTTTGCTATTAACACGTTATGTTTGAAATAAATTTGATGTCATTGAAATATAAGGTACAGTATAGTGAACTGATCGCAATACACGCTTTGCCTCGGGGTCTGTAGCGGATTAAGGGGGAGGCTGAGAGGGATACAGCCGCCCCCCCCCCCCCCGATATTTAAGGATCTCCAATTTTCCTCTTACAAATCATAGTAAATTTCACTTCACAACATAATTGTTTTTCTTTACAATAAAAACTTAAAAAATATATATATATATATATCTATATATGGGCCCCTAAAAATTTCAGCAACTGCCCGGGGAAGCCAATATTAATCATAGCACCCCTCAATATACCATGAATTAGAGGGTGAGGGACTGGATGTCTCATCAGAACAATCTAGGCCATAGTCTAGGTCGCGGATGTATACGCGGATAGTGTTGGGATAAAAGATCAAATATTTACAAACATTTAGTCGCCGTTTGGTTTAGAATGGCAATACAACCGTGTTTAGAGTTCCATCCCTTTACATGATCTGATGAACATGCCAAAAAGGCAGAATTACGTTTTTTGACGATTTTTACCTCCACTTTTCACTTTGTCTTTTATAGATACATAACGTCAGATACACCACCACTCGTTCCTGAAAAACAGCATACCCTCCACTCACTTCAAATTGCATATTTGCTTTTCTAAAATATTGACTGGTATATATTATATATATTAGGTATATCGATAAATTGTACTACAATTTACACAAAAAAAAACTCTACCTTTTTCGACTTCTAGGAGCGTGGGGCGTCATTTGTAACGATCAACCAATATTCCGGCGCCCCATCCCATTTATATTATATTTATTCATGTCAGCGAAAAATCGCCCCCCCCCCCCCACCCATTTGAAAAGATTGATGGTGCTTTTTACCAGTCCTTAGTTTGGTGTCCCATTTGAATGTATAAAATTGAGTACTTCAGCTTAAAATGAGCTTTTTCATTTTTTTACCTACCCCTTTTGGCGCCCGGGTCGGCCGTTCCACCCGCCTTCCCCTAGCTACGCCACTGCGACCCACCATCAGAAATATTTTATTACGGCCTTATATAAGACTGGCTGGCAACGCGTGTTCAAACAAAATATAAATCGACTTACTATACTGTGTCCAGATAAAAACGACATGGTTACGCCCATTAAGTAAGTATTTTATGGCAGTCCAGCCGTATAGTATTTGGCAATTGGTGTTTATGACTAGAACTAAAAAGTGTAATATATGGAGAGCAAATTTTACTACCTCTCCCCGCCCCCCCCCCCCCCGCCCCCACACACACTACTTGGCCAGCTTTAACTTTTAATGTATGCCTGTTGGCCCTGATCAGTAATGGGCTGATGATTGATTGGGGCGATGGATAATGAAAGATACAGCTTTTGTATGGGGCGATAGATTTAGTTTTATTGCAGGGTTTAAGTCTACTGTTAAGATGAAAGTTAGTGTCTGTCCTTGGCATTTCATGATTGGGTTCAATGATTGGGTTAATGACGGGACTCACGTGGCTTTCTCGACTCCCAGGGTTCCTTTCCGGATTTTTTTCTCTGGGGGTGGGGATTTAATTTCTAATTGAATTATGTAATTATGTAACCATCCCGAAATGCAACAGTTTTATCAGTTACATTTTCAGAGCTACAAAAACGTACTTGAAATCTATAATCCTCCCCTGATAAAACTTATTGATCTTTGAGAAATACACGTGTACAGGTGGTGTTGCCGCCTATAGGGGGATCAAACTTCAATTTTAAAAATCGATCATGAAATTGAATCTAAAGTTTCCTCTTACCCACACAATTTTAAAACCAACATCTCTGGCATTATTTTGCCTTTTCCACAATGTAGACTTACCAGTGTAACCATAGTGCATATAGTGCATACCATGTTGACACGTAATACTTAATTATTTTAAGGAAATCCACTCAGAGGTTATTAGAAGAAGAAAAACTACAGCTGGCATGTCAGTGAAATTGGCTTGAAGATCCGAGTCTCAAGATTATCTGGCCAACGCCAAACTACTTCAGACTACGACACATAAAGTATAGTCTAGTTGTCTAGACAGCCAAGAAGCGATGTCATTTGATCAAAGAGCTCGCGAATTCGTAGATACTGTAATTCTATAGTTTATTGTTGAAAGCTCGAATCACTATAAACTCTAAAGAACCGAATAACGACAAAGACATGTTTTCTTTGACCTACAGATATCTCCTACGTCATCAGATAACGTCATCTAATCGCTACTTCTACTTTATTAAATCTTTAACCCCGCAATGCAAATACAACTTCAAACTAAATTCGATTGAAATGTACTCTCAAAGCAAAAAACTGATAACACATTTTTTTTTATAAATCAGAGTTAAGATACCGATATTATATTTGGTCCTTAATCGGTAAAAAGCGCATAATCTTTAAAGGTATTTTTAACAGTAAAAACCTTACAATGGGATTATCGCGTCAGTCTTTTAATGCGGGTTCAAATGGTTCATAGGATGAAAGGTACAATGATTTATGGTCCAAATTGAGCGATAGCCAGCAGACTTCTGCGTAATTCATTTATCTTTCGTTTCGGAAAAAAAATTGAAGATTTAACTTTCAAAACAACTTTGTATTTGTACATTGAACTGAGAAATGTTTTACTTTGCTTTCGTATAATTGCAAGGACACCGATTCAAATTGTAAAAATCGAAAATAATTTTTGAATGTTGTGGAATAAATTTTGCCAAAAAACTACGTATTTAAAAAAAAACAGCATACGTTTAATATCACCGTTCAGCGCCTCCCCCCACCCCACAACCACTCCAAATCTCTTTGCAGACGAAGAGAGAATATTCGTAGCCTCTCACACCAAGTGTTTCTTCCAGTTTTCGGGGGGGGGGGGGAGGCGGTCAACATTTTCCGGGGGGCGGACACTAGTAAAAGTGTATGTTTACTATATAAAATTCATCTCGAAGAGATGCATGGAAGAAACTCTGCTCAGACCGCATTGTCAATCAGAAGCTATAACAAAAGTTTATTTCTTTCCAGAACCGACCCTCCATAGGGCAGATGAAGTAGAGTTCGTCTGTTTCTCTGACCTCGGCTTATGAGGAGCACTTACTACACGTGGCGGAGGAGCGAAAACTATTTAAAAACAAATGTCCATTGTACATATTATTGTTGTAGGTCTATATTGTATGTTTCTATTCTATTGTCAGCAATACAACAGATATAGTATTATTGATTTTTGGAATATGGGTACGAACAGGAAATAAGGGTGCATACAATTTGTACTTGTTACATAAACAGGAAGTGGTGCTTATCACTAAATTGTTTAAAAATGCATATGGATTGATATTCTTTTTCTTTAAATTAAGTAATCGCATGAAGACTTTTCATTTTTTTGCCACCGTGGACACTCTAGTCACCGCGCAAAACGTTTGCGTCCGGAAAACAACCAGATCAATACAGTTTACTCACTGCTTGAGTGGGGTAAGATAAAAGGCTTTACATTCTGATGTATCGGCCACATGTGTGGACCTCGAGATATGGATGACTTATCTCAGTGGTAGGTCTGCTTCAGATCAAGTTTTAGTTCGCAAAAAAACGTTTTAGTTTTTAATTGTTTTTAAAAATCTAATTTCAATTAATTATAATCAGATACTTTTTTTCAGATAGTAAATCTTTTTGTTTCGATTCTCAAAATGTGCACATATCGGTTTCTGCTATTTAAAACGTATTTTAACTATTTTGCATATATATTGTGAAACAGCATTAAAAAAAGAAAAGAAAAAACAACGACCATTTATTTGTTACACAAAAACCAGCTCTCATAAGAACGCATTCATGTAGGGGCAGTAGCTTGAGTTATATTACCAAAATTGTTAGAAATAGACAAGAATGAAAACAAATGATGAATCTGTTTAGTTATATGACAATCTTTATAAACCATAATTTTAAGCTCATAATTCTTGCTTTCCCTGTATGAAGAAATGAAAACAGAATAAACACATATGTTTAGTGTAGAATTTACGGGGTAAAGATTAACCTCATAAATTCTAGACCAAAAATTTCTATAAATACTTACCACATTTTGTCATTAATTAATAGTCTTATGATTTTTAAACAGATCTAAACAATTGACAAAAACAAGTATAAATTAGCGAAGAGAATACGTTGTCAACAGAGGAAACTTAGCCTCTAGAATGGCTAGATTGTTTCTATATGTATTGGTGTTGCTCGCGCTGAGCCGGAGTCTTCACGCGGGTGAGTCACGTTTAATAAATAAATCATTTTACCATCTTTTCGATGTTTGATTGTTTAACAATTTTTTTTTTACTACGACTCTGATCTATGCGATGTTTTTCAAAACCAGTTTAAGATTGCCTTACGAATGAAAGAGGGGGTTTATAAGCAGTGGCGTAGCGAGGAGGGGGGCGGGGGTGCGGACCGCACCGGGTGACACCATTTAGGGGGGGGTGACACCAAGACAAAATATAGCAAAATATATAAAGAAAAATGATAATTCCACTTAATTAAGTAATTAATTCGAGTGTTAAATAGTCTTTTAAGAGGTGCAAATCGAAAATTTGAGGGGGTGGTGCAAATCAAAAGTTTGAGGGTGGGGGGTGTAAATCGAAAATTGAAAGTTTGTCCCCGGGAAGGATCGCTACACCTCTGGGGGGTGACACCTTTAAGTGTCGCACCGGGTGACACCCGACATCGCTAAGCCACTGTTTACAAGACTTGCGGATTTTAACTAATCTGGTGATATTTTAGCAGTTTAACCGCCGAAAATAACAGTTAACCCGATATACTAGCTTCCCGACAAGCCAAGTGTAGTACTACACCTAAACTGTCCTGACAAAACCACACCCCAATATCAGACTAAAGTACTTAATTTATTCATACTTTCCGATCCTTAAAAAGATGCACATAGAAAACACAAATTTCATATTACTTTGGTTTACGTTAATCATAGTCGCCGTCTGGTTAGCATAATATTCAGTCGCCATACCAAATTATCAAAGTATACACACACACACACACACACAAATATGTATATATTTATACATTTATATATATATATATATATCTATATATATCTATATATTATATATATATATATATATATATATATATATATATATATATATATATATATATATATATATATATATATATATATATATATATACATTAATTTACTAATTTACTGTCAATGTTTTTGTTATGGTTAAAAGGAATAATTATTTTTAAATACAGCGTTGAATTAATTATTTTAGGCAATTTTAAAAATTAATACCCATGGTTTTTTTTTACTTTCTCGTATATACGAAGTATAGAGAAAGTCTTGTAAAATCGAGATTTTTACAAATCTTGACGTTTTACACCTCACTGATACGGAAAAACATAATTTTGCAATCTTGTCCGTATGTCTGTGTGTCTGTGTGTGTCTGTGTGTAAATACCATAACTTGAGTGCCGTTACAGCTAGATTGATGAAATTTCACATATAAGTACTTTATCAAAATCGTAGATCCGTACCAACTTTTAAGCGATTTTCGATAACCGGAAGTGGTACTTTTTCTACTTTGAATTTTTCAAAAGCCTATAACTTGAGTACTATTTCAGATAGTTAAATGAAATTTCACATGTAAGTAAAAGATCTATATCTATACCTTCTGTCAAATTTTGAGCAATATCCGTTGAACGGAAGTACTCATTTACGCTATTTTTGATTTCTCAAAAACTGCATGTAAATTTATAAAGTACTAATAATTTTGCGCACTATTATGAATATCTTTATTTAGCGTTCACTTGGTGCGCAATTCTTTTTTCTATGAGATTCTATTCTATTTTAAAAAGTTTAAGTATTTAAAAATGGATTAAAAATCATAACTATATCCCGAGTTCCCATCCCATGTTGTTTTATATAAGAATATTCGAGAAAGTTTAGGGGAGATCACTCCCGGTTTATTTTTTTCGTTTTGAATCCATAAACAAATTAAATAGATTTGAAATTTTTACATTTGTTTTATTTTTACAGCTGCCGTAAAACTTGAGAATCCCTGCGCCTCTGATCCATGCACGGAAGGGCACCACTGCCAAACTGTTGAGAACTCAACTGCCCCTTATGTTTGTCTCAGTAAGTCCTTTACTTTATAATGGATACTGTAGTTAAAACTAATACAGGATACTGAAGTTAAAATTGAATATGTTTCAATAATTTTTTTACGCCCGTTGAATTTTACTCATCTCATTTTTTTCCACTTGTTGCCCAAGACATGTGGGGCAGATGAAGTAGAGTCAATCTGTTTCAGAGACCTCGGGAAGGGATAGTGTGGTCAGCACTTTGTCAAGCCGCCTTAGTTTCCCTAACTTGGATTAGGTACCCATCAGAACTGGGTGGACTCAGGGACATTTTACTGGCTTGAACCAAACAATCTGTGCATAATAGTGCGGAATATTATTAGTACTTTATAAACTCACATGCGTTTCTTGTGAAAATCGGAAATAGCGACAATTACTACTTCCGGTCAACGGAAATTACTCAAAATGGTATAGAAGGCAGAGAATTAGATCTTTTACTTACATGTAAAATTTCATTTATCTATCTAAAATAGTACTCAAGTTTTAGGCTTTTGAAAATTTTAAAGTAGAAAAAGTTCCTCTTCCGGTTATCGGAAATAGCTGAAAATTTGATATAGATCTACAAATTTGATATAATACTTATCTTTGAAATTTCATCAACCTTGCTGTAACGGTACTCAAGTTGTCGAGTTTACAGACACAGATACATACACACACACATACACAAACACACACACAGACTTATGGACAAGATTGCAAAATTATGTTTTTCCGACTCATGGAGATGTAAAACGTCGAGATTTGCAAAAATCTCGATTTTTGTTTGCACGACTACAAGACTTTCTCAATACTTCGTATATACGAGGAAGTAAAAATGATTACTTATAACATTTTGTACTTCGTTCTTTTAAATTGATGACAAATATATTTGCATTGGTATGAAAAAGTGAAGAATATAAAATGAAAAAAAAATATATAACGTCTAGCGTTGAAAAAAAAATCTCAACTACCCAGCTGCACTGGAATTGTATCGGCTTCCGTGCGCGTTTAACATACGCTATTCGTAGTATTGTAACTGTTGGTTGGTGAATTTTTTTAAAGGGGGCGGTAGGCCAAAAAACTTTGGGAACCGCTGATAGAAATAATACAAGAAACAACAACACAATCAGTTCTGTTTTACACTTCAACGATACAATCAACCCTGTTTTACATTATAACAATAAAATCAATCCTGTTTTACACTACGATAAAATCAATCCTGTTTTACACTACGAGACAATCAATTGTTTCACACTACAACGATACAACCAATACTGTTACACACTACGATACAATCAATCCTGTTTTACACTACAACGAGACAATCAATTGTTTTACACTAATACGATAAATCAATCATGCTTTACACTACAACAATACAACCAATCCTGTGTAACACTACAACGAGACAATCAGTTCTGTTTCACACTACAACAATACAACCAACCCTGTTTCACTCTACAACAATACAATCAATTCTATTGTACACTGCAACGATACCACGAATTCTGTTTCACAGGGGACGGCTACCGGTTTGGAGACTGCAGTCTGAACGCTTACCTGAGCTGTGACCAGTACGCCAAGTGTTTGGACTCTGAAGCTGACCACTCCTTCACCTGCCAATGTCCGGAGAATGCCGTGGAGGGGGACGGGTTCAAAGTTGAACAGGGGGGTACAGGTTGTAAGCTTGGTAAGTCAGATTTTTTACAGGGGTGGGGGGGGGTCAAAATTGAACAGGTTGGGGGTGGGGTCTGGCTGTACGGTTGGTAAGTCAGGTCGTTATTTACAGCGGCGGGGGGGGGGGTGGAAGGGGTCAAAATTGAGAGAACAGTTTGTAAGGTTGGTAAGAAAAATCATGTTTCTATAATGAGAATTTGTGGAGGGTGACGGATTTTAAAAGGGGAAACGGGTTCTTGTCTGATATATCAGATACATCCTCTTTGTTATGATGGAAGTTGGAGGGGGGGGGGGGTGATGGGTACAAACCTAAACCGTGTAAACCACTTTCACGAACTCCTGGAGTGAATGTGAATTTAAACTATCACAACAGTCTTTATTGACATTGGTATGCAATTTCAGAAACAGTATACCATTTAACAAAATGTCGAACGATATCACGCATAATTTAATCTTTAATCGTTCTAATTATGTGTTGTCTCTATTTTGTGCCTATGTGTTGTATCAATATGTTGTGTCTCTGAGTTGTGACTATGTATTTTATCAATGTGTTGTGTCCATATTATGGGTCTCTTATCTACATGAATTATATGTATCTCTGACTTGAACAAAGTTCTGCTACTACCTAAACCCCGCTTGTCTCTGTCTAGAATACAAACCCTGTGCTATAGACAACGACTGTCCTGAACACGGTTTCTGTAACAAGGAATACAAGTGTGAGTGTAAAAAAGGTTTTCAGGGGAATGGACACACCTGCACAGGTAGATCAAACTTTAACTTTTCAATATACATGTATATATGTATATATATATATACATATATATACATATATATGTATGCATATATATATATATATATATATATATATATATATATATATATATATATATATATATATATATATATATATATATGCACGCGTAAATATATATATATATATATATATATATATATATATATATATATATATATATATATATATATATATATATATATATATATAATCATATTACTTTGTTAAATGAGTGAGACAATATGAGTTAGAATTGGGACGTAAACTAAAAATACCAAGCTTTTGTTCCAGATATTGACGAGTGCCTAAATAGTCCCTGTGACCCTCACGCCAACTGCACAAACTCTCCTGGCAGCTTTGTGTGCTTCTGTGACGCCTACAAAGGTTTCCGTGGTGATGGCTTTAAGTGTCAATGTAAGTGAGCTCATTAATTACATTCGCTAGCATTATCTCCCTTTCTGCGCTTCACGTCACTAAAAATACTAAAATAATACTAACGAGCTTTTAAATTTTTTTAAATACCGAAAACTTACACTTTTACTGTAATAATTTAGTGGTAATGTGGAGGTTTCATAATCGTTTTTAAACTTGATTAGATTATCTAAACGGGCATTTTATTAAACACATAAAGATCACACAATTTAGATGTTCAAATACAAAGTCATTTTTTTTAGTTAGAATTTTCCTCATGAAATTCAGGGGTGAAACTATTTTGTCATTCAAATTTCTTTCGACTTTTAGGTAAAAGGAGTAGTTTTGTTTAAATTTTTTATAACATAAAATGAAATTTGATAAGATATTGCAAGGAAAGAACAGACTCGTTGAACTATATGCAAGCTGTCATACTAAAGTCATGAGTCAGGTACCCATTAAAGCCGAATGTACTCTGAGCCGTCCTACTGACTCGAACCCGGGATCCGAACTCGAGACTTTCGGGTTTTCAGGCTTAAGTTCTTATTGTGTATTACTGCACAGAAAACGTCTGGTTCATATCTTTGAAGTTCAGACTTTTCAATGAAAAGAAACAGATTAAAAAAATGTTTTATATGATTAAAAGAGGAATGTCTACCTCATATTTGCACAGCAATTGAATACTTCTCCTGCTCCATGGGCTATCAGGTTCAAAAGTTTACTTTATCTTTTTTTTTACTGTTGTAATGACACCAAATTATTTTTCCCCCAGTCGCTTGTGGCAGCCATAACGACTGTGACGCGCCTAGGGCCGTGTGCAACGAACAAGACTTGTGTGAGTGTATCAAGGGTTACCAAGGCGACGGTCTCAACTGCACAGGTGAGTCCCAGGGAAACAGTGTCACACTGAAGGTGTTTCTTCTGTTAAATCAGGCGGACACCTTATAGGTGTTTCTTCTGTTAAATCAGGCGGACACCTTATAGGTGTTTCTTCTGTTAAATCAGGCGGACACCTTATAGGTGTTTCTTCTGTTAATGCAGGGGGGGGTGTAACCAGTGGAGGGTGAAGACATTAGAGTAAGCTGGTCAGACAAATCATCCGTTTGAAAAGTGTATTGTAGGTCTAAACCGCAGATGAAATTAATTTTAACTAATTTCTATATAATGGTATATCTATGTCCATCTCAGTGTATCCACTGTTTACCTGTAGTATGCTAATTAAAAAGTCATTATGTTTTCTGCAAAATGAACCGACGTAATTTATGGACGTTGCTCCACTCTATCTCTCTCAAAAGTTTTGTAGAGATAACCGGCTTGTGTAAGCTAGAGAGTCCAACAGGCTGTAGAATCTAGCCAGGAGCTTGACGTGTTTATTTCGACCGTGCTTTTACTTTCTCCTTCAGTCCAACACTTGATATGGGGTGAGGCAGGGGTACCTGTTAACAAACTACTGACCTCCGTCTTAACCAACCCCCCAGACCACAACACCCTTCCCTCCCTTTTATATGCAGCTATTGAGGTGGGTTAAGTTGATTCTCAATCATACCATGTTCCCTGTAGATGCCGATGAGTGTGCTACCCCAGGTGCCCACAACTGTAGCGAGAAGACAAACTGCATCAACGTCGTTGGCAGCTTCAAATGCGAATGTAAAAACGGTTACACCGGGAATGGTATCAACTGCACAAGTAAGGAAGGACATTTTTAAGATTTTTATAAAATTATATAATTTTTAATCAGTATTTTTTATTAGTTTAAAAAAATTATCAAAACATTAAATCAGGATTTTTTTTAGTATTTTAAAAACTATCAAAATATGTACTCTTTCTCCTATTAAAAAAAACATTTAGAGCGCATAGGGGTCAAAAGCGAAAGAGCTTATAAGATTTGAATTAGGTAAAGACACATCTCTTGTATTACACAAACTGTTGAGCAAAATAAAATTCAAGATTGTGTAAAAATAAAATAGTATGTGCCTGTTGTGTGACTATCTGGTGCTATTGTGTTTGTGTAACGCTTAGCACTATGTCGCTGAATTAGATATATCGAAGTAATATAATTATTCTTTATTTTTATAGACTTGCCTCAAAGCTGTAAGGAAATTCCAAGGTTTACGAACGGCAACAAGTACAAAATAGATCCGGACTTCACTGGCCCCGCGGATGCTTTTATGGTGGGTTGTAATTCGGATGTGATGTTTTGTATTGCAAGGATTACTTTTTAAAAAAATTACTTGAAATTACACAATTCATTTTGTTATGATACGAGAATAACAAAATTTCCTATATACTGATAGAATGTTGCGCGGCATCTGCATTGCTCATTCAGATATGAATACAATTTTGATAGTAGCAAAAAAATTTAGTACTTTATTTTATTTTATTGTTTAGTACTTTTTATTTTCATTTTAAGCTTACAAAATTTTCCAACTTATTTTGACGCTAAAAACCTAATAGCCTGCGATTAATAAATAATGAATTTTATTAGAATTTATAGCAGTAAATTATTGTATTATAGGTATCGGTATCATTTCGAATAAAAATAAAATAGGCTATGAAATATTGAAGTAAAGTGTGGTGTTCACTTAGAAATGCCATATTAACAAAATAGCGAGTATTGTTTTGTTATAAATGTCCTTAACGTAACCATAACCCAAAACCAAACCCATGCTGTACAAACGGCTGGAAAACACTGACATTACACCTGTCACACCAGGTGATCTGTGACAAAATCAACGGCGTCGTCGTCACCAAGTTGCCAGCCATTGGACCCTTTCCTCTCTCCGCCCCTGAAGCTACTGGACCGCTGGTCATCGAGTACGAGCCTAAGCCGTCAGACTTGGCGTCACTTCTGGAGAACTCTGGCTTCTGCTACCAGGATTTCTCGTAAGTCCCGGACAAAGGGGAAAAATATTGAATTCTTTGTAGGTTGTTAAGCCCCCCCCCCCCCCCCACACACACACCCCACCAAGCCTCTATTCTTTCCGAAGAAGTCTTAACCCAACTAAACTACTCTTCTTCTCGTCAACATTAATATTACCTTAGCAATAAGTGCGGCCTTACAAATCCTTGTGCGGGCGGCGTGGTCGACTGGTAGAGCGTTTGACCGCTGACCCGGATGTCTTGAGTTCAGATCGTGGGCCCTGAGTCCACCTAGCTATGGTGGGTGCCTGACTCATGTTAGGGAATGTAAAGGCGGCTGGGCATAGTGCTGACCACACTATCCCTCCATATGCCGAAACAATCTACTCCACCTGCCCCGTTGGACGTAAGATTTCAAGGGTACTTTACTTTTCTCTACTTTTGTATTTCCTTGAATGTTTTTTTTTATTATTATTTATTTTTTTTTTTAGAGATTTGAGCATTGTTTTTAACTTGCATGGTGTTAAGCAGTTACTATTCCTGCACCCAAAAACAAAACTTTTTAAAAAAAATCCATTTCAGGTTCTCATGTTTCCAAGGATTCTCCATGTTCCCGGGAACAAAATGGTACGACGCATACGGCGAGGAACACAAAAATTGGGGGAGCACCAAAGATGAGAAGGTAAACAGAGCAGTTAATTGGCTCCAAATATCCGTTGGTTTAGTCCCAAGCTACTAACACCAAAGCAAATAGAAAATATGCAAGTTTTCAGTATCTTCAGTTGTTGCTAATATTATGCCTGTCAGAAGAAGACAGCTGTTGTCCTACATTTTGGCTCCAGATACACCCAGGGATGTGAATCTTCAAGGCTCATACCTGGGCATTAGATGAGAAGATCATGGATTATCCATGCATCGTGACCCCTCTCTCGACCTTGGCCGTTATAGTCAGCTTCGGTTACAGAAGCTATCAAAATCCACAGGTGGTAATCCTATTACCTAAGAGTCTCCAGTCCTGAATAATTTCGAAATTTTCTCTCCCAGATGGGTTGGTGTCCCCAGCTAACGCACCTAATCTGCCCGGGGTTTGAGCTCGAGACCTTTACGGGCTCTCCTAACTGAACACCCCATCCCCAAATATACAGATAAAGCTCACACAGCATATTTGGTCAATGAATCCGTTTCAAAGATATTATGGGTCTACGACAAATTCCCAAAAGACACTTGCCCGAATGCCGTTTGCCCGAAGCCGATTTCCCGAATGGACACTTGCCCGAATGCGACAAATGCCCGAATGGACACTTGCCCTGATGGACACTTGTGTCCATTCGGGCATTTGTCGCAACGTCCGACTCCCGATATTATGACTCTTTTACACGACTTTGTGCTCTATAATCTGAAGTAGAAATCAAGTGCGGTATAGAGAGTTTTTTCTGTCGGTGTAGGGTAAGGATTAGGGTTAACCATAGCTCGATGGTAAACCGTAGGGTTTGAATGAGGGATATTTCTAGAGTTAAAACTAGTGGGTTGCGATACTAGAAAAAAAAAATCTATTTTTGGTGCCATCTGCAAGCCAACATTCAATAATATAAAATTAATCAATTAAGAAATTAACTTTTTAGTTTCCTTTTACGCGTCCTGAGTGCATGGAAAGTGAATTAGAGGTCATCTTTTCAATGACCATGGCATTTAAATGTATAGTGTGATCTATTGTATGCCCAGCCGACTTTGCTTTCCCTAATGGGATGGACGCAGGGACGTCCTACGAAATCGATCTATCCAAACTCGAGCCTCTCCGTTTAGCAGCCCCAATCTTTAACTACACCATACTTCAATCTACCAGTGCGCGTGTGGTGAGCTGAAGCGATGTCCACTCAGCTGTTACTGTGACGGTACCCAGAGGACAATCGCCACCGACTACGGACGGGTGATGGACAAGTCCAGACTTCCGGTGATGAAACTCAACTTTGACCAGACGACCAGAAACAAGGGGAATGTCGACATCCAGCCAGTCGTCTGCTCCGATGTTCCTGTTGGTGAGATGGGCTGGTTCATTCATATGTGAATTAAACTTTACGATACAACTTAAGAGGCCAGCCGAAAATTAAATGCGGCACTCGGAGTCAGTGTTTCTTCCAGACTTTTTTCTCCGGGAAGCACATGAAATCTTCGGGGGGGGGGGGGCGGTAAACTTTCTTCGGGGGGGGGGGGGGCGGACACTGTTAAAAGTATATATTTTCTATATAAATTATATAAATTTCATTTCGTTCGGGGGGGGGGGGCGGTAAAAAAATTTTCGAGGGGGGGGGCGAACCGAAGAGATGCCTGGAAGAAACTCTGCTCGGAGTTTCTTTTAGACATTTCTTGAAGGGGAAGGGCTTGATCCAATTCCATTTCCGCCAAAGCCTCTCAAAATATAACCAAACATAATTTATATAGAAAATGGGCTTTCTCCCTATACAACCCCAGGTATCTTTAAGGACTGTCATGAAGCATATGCTCTCCATTATTTGGTTCCTATCAATCCCAGGTATCCCTAAAGAATGCCATGAAGCATATAATCTCCATTATCTGGTTCCTATCCACCCCAGGTATCCCTAAAGACTGCCATGAAGCCAAGTTCACCTACAAGATCAAGAAGAACACCATCATGTACATTGATATAGATGGGCCGGGTGGCCAGGAGCCATTCTTGGTCTACTGCGACATGGAGTCATTCAGTCATGTCGGCATTACAGAGATCTCAACTGAAGTGTAAGTCGTATTTTTAGTAAAGTCATGCATGCTGAATCTAGTTTATACGATGTGTGAGTCATATTTTTAAGGCATGCTGACTCTCGCACATTCGATGTAGAAGTCATATTTTGGCATGCTAACTCCAGTTCTTTCTATGAAGAAGTCATATTTATCATTAATTCATGTTGTCTTTCATTATTTTGATGTGTAATCCAATATTTTGGGGACGGCGTGGTCTAGCGGGTGAGAGCTGGACTTCTAACCTGTAAGTATAGAGTTCGAATCCGGGTTCAAGTCAGTAGAAAGTAAAGGCGGCTGGGCATAGTGCTGACCACACTATCTCTTCATAAGCCGAGGTCACAGAAACAAGTGAACTCTACTTCACTTGTCCCATAGACCGTCAGGTTTGAAAGGGAAACTTTACTTTTACTTTAATCCAATATTTTATCAATTTCTACACTTTCGATGTTTAAGTCACATTTTTGTAATTATGTTGACTTAAATATTCTCACTGTACAAAATTGTGTACACTCAGTTGCAATATTTTTCTTCTTCACTACCTATTTGTAAGCCAAGTCTTCTAAAAATATTCCCTAATATTTAATTGAATATGCATACGATAGAATAATCTGGTGCGATTTTAGCTATGTTAATTCCAATTTCCGGACTTGCGTGTCGGTGTATAAAAAAAACAAAATCAGAAATTTACCCCTATAGACAGTCATGTCTGAAAGTGTATCTCTACTTGATTATATATACATCTCAACATAAGTGTTCCTCCCTTTCGCCACAGTCCCACCATATCACCAAACACAACACAGGGCACACCCGTCTCCTACACGCTGGACCATACGAAAATTGACGCCTTGATCTCCGGGTCTTTGTTTTGCTCCCAAGAAGTGAGATTCGTCTGCAAGGTAATAATAAAACTGTACCCCTTATAATACTACAATTAACCTATTAACATGTTCAACATATTAAAATATATTTTTAAAAAGCCAATGGTATGCAGAGCGATTTCGGCATTTCTACAACATGCTCAAACTCTGCTCTGGCTTGAAAATACAGGAACGAAACTTTGGGCCAGAAAATTTCTGATGGTTGATTTCGCATATATCCGAATACGAAAATATCCTAAATTCAATACTGCGTTCGTTTAAAGTTTAAATTAAACCCTTTGTTCTGATAACTAGTGTGACCCCCGTAAGAACCGGGGTTTCTTTCAGCCATTTTTTACTCTAATACTTTTGGTGGAAGATGGGCAGTTATAGACATAGTTATAGCAATGTTAAAACTATTTTACTACTTTGTTTGAGTAGGGGGGTGGACGTGCCGTGGATAGATGCCTAAAAGAAACACTGAATACGATAGGGTCAAACTGAATGGTTTTAGGTAGTCCAAACTGGCGAAAAAGTGCGTTTTAGGGTCAGTTTTTGCGGTTTTCAAAAAACAAATTTCACTACTTCTAGTTGTCCTATAAGAATAAAAATTATATGTCAATAAAGTTTAAGTCTTTATCTGTCGTAATATGGTATTTTTATATCTGTAACACATGTTTGAATGTGTTTTATATTTGTTTGAAAAGTATCAGTTACGTCAACAAATTTCACCGTTTTGCGTGTACCGATCGACCCCACACTGTTTTATTTGGTCGCGGCTTCGCGACGAAGCATCGTAGAAGCATAATCTTAATGTCATTTTAAAGATCGAATTCTAGGCTATCGTTTGATGTATAAATTGAAAAAATAACTTGTATATTTCATTTAAAAAATACAGATTTTAAACTTTAAATGACGATATATACACGGAAACAAACTAATTCTGTTTCAATTTTTACACCGATGTAAAGTTCAGTTTTATAACTACTTTGTGTTGTAAATTCAAGTATTTCTGATTTACGGTCGCGAAGCCGTACCCCCAATAAACATATAACCCTCGAGTCGACTTTCAGCCCCGAGTAAGTTGCTCGCCGAACGGTTTTAAAGGTTGACGACCGATGATGCTAAACGGATTTTACCCTTGCTAGAGCCTTCAAACAAGTTGTAAGTATCATTTTTAAAGTTTCATTTCCATTTTAATAAATGAATTTTAAGTTTGAATGTCAGTTTGGTTTAATTAGTACACGTTATTAATGTAAATTTGAACGCTACAAGTCCACGGTTTTAGCGGGTGAACTACGCTTGTACACAGGGTGTGTTTAGACGTGAAGCTATTTAATTCAGGACATTTTAGGGTCTTGAAATATGGATGCACTTAACTATTAGATGCTAGTGTTTACTAATTCTTTAAAATCTATTGACTGGGATCAATGATAGGGTCGTATTACTACAGTTTATCTGGACTATCACGTCAAAATTATGAATCGACAAATTCAAAATGGCCACCAGACTATCCTGGTTACTATGTGGACGAACTCAATTATTTACAGGGAATGAAGGTTAAATACTTATAAAATACTAATGAAACACAAAAGAAATTTATAATTATAATAACTATACATTTTTATCAATGTATTTAAAACAAAAGACACTAAATTTGAAGGACTAATGTGATTAATTTTTTTATTTTCTGTTGTGCATTCTGATTCTGATTCCCCTGCTGAATAATGTGAAATGGTCTGCGCCAGTCTCCTTAATAAAATGTACCAGATCAATTTTTAGATGGTTGTGCAATTTATTAAGATTGTACATGTTGTGACTTAGTTTTAAATGTTATATTAGTTGTAAGTGTAAGTAGTACTAGTAGTATTTCTCATTATTTATTTATTTTATATGCATATAATAGTAACAATGAAGGACAGTTAAGTTGTCCTATAGGATGTTGAGAACCACAGTATGGCATCTTCATCATTGGATATCTCAACCATTGTGGGACAAGCAACGATTATTTCAAATTTCTTTCAGTAGAATTACTCTTAAAAATATATATAAAAAATATAAATTACTTTTAACAAAAAGGTGTTTTCAGGCTTTTTCATATGTTTCCAGTTATAGTCATAGGACAAATAGTAGGCCTACACAATAGGCTAGTAGTAAATTTAATTATATTTTATTAATCACTAAATCAATTGTTCGTTCCATAGTTGGAGACATTTACGGTGGCCTATCCAGAACTTTCCTTACAAGGGAAGGGAAGAAGGCCAAGACCCCACTCCCCCCTCCCCCCTACAATTCCCAAAACATATTACTTACTGAGTAAGTTACTCTTGATGCTCCACAAGATCAAGGTTGAGGGAAACAAGACGTATAAAGATGTTCCCCCAAAACTGTTCCCCCAAAGCAGTTATCAGGTTTGAAAAGAAACCAAAGCATGTGGCATCAACTGCTGCATCACTTGTAGGCATCACGTCTTTATTAAACTACATTACATTACATTTACTCTACTAAATTTTGATTCTGTTTCTCCTGCACTAGATAACTGTGGTATTTTTTAAAATAATATTTTAACTCATGTGATTTTTGAAAATAACACATTTTTCCACGTCGATGTTACCAACACAATAATTTTAGAGTTATTCCAAAGCAAAAAAAAAAAATTGGAATTTTTTTTTTTTTTTTATGAAAATAAAAGTGACCAAAACGCATTTTTGTCATTTTCAATTATTTTTTTACCTTAGAAAGACTCATTTTAGATGACTGAAAAAAATTGGGCATATATATTACAAACTTTGCAGCAACTTTACCAATTTCCACACTTCTATGTTATTTAGTTTAAAAAATATGGGTTCTCAAAAATGGCACTTTTTGAAAATCAGTTTTTTACCAAATTTTGCTTTTTAAAAAATCGCATAACTTTTTTATTTATTGAGATATTTTTATAAAATTTGTGGCATAGACCTTACAATTAAAAGTTCTTTCATGACATACTCACTCCAGAAGTCTGCAATCAATAGTTAATTTCAGTTTGGACTACCTAATGGTTTGCGCCAAATTGTAAAATCATTATCCTTCTTCAATGTTAGTCTACGTTTACAATAACAAACCATCAGTGGCGTAGCGAGGTCGGGTGTCACCCGGTGCGGCACTTAATGGTGTCACCCCCCAGAGGCGTAGCGACCCTTCCCGGGGACAAAATTTCGATTTGCACCCCCCCTCAAACTTTCGATTTGCACCTCCCCCCTTAAGTTTTCGATTTGCACCCCCCCCCCCCCAAGTTTTTCTCTATATATTTTGCTATTTTTTTCTTGGTGTCAACCCCCTAAATGGTGTCACACGGTGCGGTCCGCACCCCCCCCCCTCGCTACGCCTCTGCAAACCATTATGATGGTGATCCATAAATAACGTTACACTCCCAGGGGAGAAGGTGCTGTACTTTTGTGACGAGGGGGTGGGTGGTTCTTCAGAAAGTATGACGTCGCTTTAGGATTTTATTTTTCTCGTTCCTTGTCCAATAAAATTACAGTTTTTCATCTCTATTTATATCTGTCCACAAGAATTCCAAGCTGACCGCTGGAGGGGGCTACGTGTCTGTCACAAGCGCAGAACGCAAACTTGAATACTTCCCTGGCGCGAACGGTGTCCAGAACTCATGCGGTTGTGGGACCACGCATTCATGTGCCGAGCCGGAAGTGAAGTGTAACTGCGACATTGGCGACGATGTGGAGCGAACCGACTTCGGTTTGATCATCGACAAGGCCGACCTCCCCGTCGTCAGGGTCACGGCCGAGTTCGGAAGTCACCGAAATGGTACATACAGCGTCGGCAATCTCCGGTGTAGCCAAATTCAGTTCGGTGAGTTCAATTTGTGTCTCTGTTTTTAGCGCAATTTCCATGCTGGCAAAAATTGCGTTTAATAACTCGTCATTTCTGGATGGATGGATGTGTGTCCGCAGCCTTTAAGTCGTATCTCCTCCTTAACGAAGCAATATCGAGGACTAGTTTCAAAGCAAATATGTTAAGCCAGAGGCGTAGCGACCCTTCCCGGCGCCCGGGGACATACTTCCAATTTGGCGCCCCCTCGAGAGCAAATTTTCGATTTGCACCCCCCCCCCCCCTCGAACTTTTCATTTGCACCCCCCCTCAAACTTTCGATTTGCACCCCCCCCCCCCCCCTCGAACTTTTCATTTGCACCCCCCCCCCCCTCAAACTTTCAATTTGGCGCCCCCCCCCCTAAGGTCGGCGCCCGGGGACATATGTCCCCCCCCCCCCCGCCCCCCCCTCGCTACGCTACTGCTGTTAAGCAAGTTCCAAGGATGATTGTGGGCCAAAAAAATTCCCGGAATTCTTTCCTGGAATTCCCGGAAAAGCCAAAAAACCTCGAACAAATGCAGTTTTTGCTCCATATCTCTGCAACCAGACCACTTAGCGACTTGAAACTTTTACCAATCGATTCCTGCCATAATTTAGACCAATATTGCCCAAGAAAGTTTTCAAAAATATCCTTTCGTTCAGTCACAAAAAATTCATTAAGAACATTTAAACTGAGCATCGTGTAGGCCTAGGATGATATTTACTACTTTTTTAAACTGAGCATCGTGTAGGCCTCCGTTGATATAGGTTAATATAGTTGTCTTTTTTTAGCGCAATTTCTATACTGGTTTCTATTTTGTTTTGAATCATTAAAACTACTTGTGTTGCATTTTTTTGCTGAATATATGATTTATCTCGATTTAAAATTGTTATGGATAACATAAGGAAATTGCGCTTAAATTTTCACTAGACTTTTTATTAACTTGTTTTTCTCTTTACTTTAATCTTTAATACATTTTCTACAAAGTGTTTTTCTTTACGTCTCATACAATTTAAGAGGGAAAAAAACAAATTTGGCAGTTCATTTGGGGAACTAATTATAAATTTTATCCGTTTCTTCGACACCTGCTTATAAAAATATTTCTGGTCAGCGCCTAACCGTCTCTATTATCCCCAAATCGAGTCAGGTACCCATTAGAGTTGGGTGGACTCTTGAACATAATGTGGTCAAGAGCCTGGAGCTCAATAAAAGAAATGTAACCTTTCGGGTTACCAATGATGTGTCACACGTTCACGCCATTCACAAGACTTCAAGTCGTTGCGATGAGAAAAAAAACTCTCATATTTATATTTATAAGTAAAGCTTTTTACCGAAATCAAATCAGATAAAATATATTCCGGTTTTGGGTTAGTGCCACACTAACCTAAAAATGATCTTGTTTAAGTGCAAGTTCAGATTCAATACCAATTCTTCCTGTTGTTTCTATCGAAATACGGATATAATTTAACTTGCATGTTTTATTGTTTTTACTTTTTTTTAGGTATCGAGCCCAACTGTGAGAAGTATCGTCAGGCAGGTATCAACAAAGATCATACATACCTGGTAGATCCAGATGGCCCAGGTATGACATCTCTAATGACATAATTTCTTGGGTCAAAATACATGCCACAAACATTTGTTCTATTTTAAAACCCATAACTTGTAAATTTTAAGCGCCAACTGCTTTTCGCTTTTTTTTAATCATTAAACTTAAAGAATTCATAACTAGATCTAGATCAAGATTTTTACCCCGCTCATACGTGTTAAATTACAAATAACATTAATTTGAGAGGCATTTTGGATTGGGATTTTTTTTTCATATTGTAATAGGATTAATACTATTTTGATATTTTGCGAAGAGCTTTTTTAAACATTGGATAATGTCTTGTGTATCATAGTTTTAAACTGCTGCGGATAGAAAGCATTCGATGCCGCATTGTTTCATGAGTCCATTTATTTTTTTTTAAATATACATATATAGATCTAGAGTCTAGATCTATAGTAAATATTAATTAGCCCAGCGCTTTATTTTGTTTGTTATTCAATATTTATGTTTAAATCCTATAGGAAAGCAACCACCTTTTAACGTTGAGTGCAATTTTATTGCAAACCCACCCCAAGGAGTGACAATCGTTCACCACGATAACGAGAAACCTGTGAGTAGTTTCCCTTATCTTTTGTACAGGACGATAGACCTTAGTACATAAAATAAAACGAAGTGTCTACTCGGAATAAGATTTTCGTATATATCAATGTAAAACACTACTGTTTTAAAAATATAGATTTAAATTATTCAGTAATTCACTTGATTTTAAGATATTTTAAAAAATTTTATCGATTTATTTTTTTATTTTATCATCAATGAAGCTTTTTTTTTTTCTTTTAACAACTTTAACCATAATGGCTAATGAATACTCTAATCCAAATAACCAAATAGATTCTAGTATAGTTTCTTAATGGTTACAGTTGACTATAATAGTAATAAAACTAGCAAGTAGACCTTCTCTAATACCAGTAAATACTATTCCAGAAAAACTTTTTATGAAAGGTATTTTTAACATTGTTAATTATTTTTGTTCTGTAAAGTATTTGGTCAATGCATCCAACTGGCTCCTACACTACCTTCAAGTCAACCACGACCAACTTGAGGCTCTGAAAAATAGGTCAACCTTCTGCACCCAAGAAATTAGCATAGGCTGTAAGAAAGTCAGCATCCAGTTGCCAGGTATATTTTGCACATCACACACATTTTAATGATCCTTGCCAGATATGTTAGCATTGACATTAGCTAGCAATGTGTGTATTTAGTTAACTACCAGTAACCTAACACCCCTTTTTTAAAAGAAGATTCTATTATCGGACACTGATATAAAAATACCCCCAAAAAAGGATATGTATACATACATATACACACGTTACACATACACATTATTATACTCATACAAGTATGTCTCAATAGTGAGTGTATTAAGTATAGTTCATTTACATGTATTAAATCTATGAATTTCTCAGGCACCATAAACTGGCTGGGAGCTGCTCTAGAATCATTGGAACTTCCTCAATATTTGGAGTCCTGTGGCTACCAGGGTCAGTACTGCAACTGCAATGGTCAAGAGGACAGGTCAGTGTTAAAAATGCTTTGTATTGAACCATCTTGAATAAACACAAGCTAGGTAACAATTGTTGCTGCTCAAAGTAAATGTAGATAAGGATAAGATAACTCTGGGTACACTACTGAGCCATACACTGGACTGGACACATTTAGAAAAGATGTGGAAGATATTTTTGAGGAGTTATTCATGATTTTTTATTGATAGAGGCATTTTATTACATTTAGGTAATGTAATACAATTTTAAATTGCCTATATAGTAGTTTATGGCAATAGTAGTGTAGGAAGACTAGTTGGTTAATATTTGTAGAGAGGCTTATTATGTTTTAAAAAGATATGTGATTTTTAAGAGTGTATACTAGGTTAGAAGGACTGAACATATATGAGGGGATCTGGGTGTATATATTAAATAAAGCTTAATACTGAACTAAAAACAAAACATATATGAAAAAAAATATTTTTTTCTCACTTGTTGATTTGTGTGCTAAGCTATCATTGTCAGCATAACAGAATATAATTACACAGTAGAAAATCAATTCAATCCTTCCTAATATTTTTTTATCAATTTTTGTTCCATAAAGTAAGCAAATAAATATGTAGCTTAACAATTATCTACATTACTAGGTCATTTCAAAATTTTATCTTGTAGTTCGGACAGGGGTGTGATAACTGATAAGGATGAACTACCTATCAAGGCATTGGATTTCAGTAGCATCCTTCATCAGCTGACCAGTAGCAAGGAGCTTCAAATGTTTGTGGGACCAATGTCCTGTTCAGGCAAGTTTAGTATTTCTTTGCTGCACTGTCACAGCATTCCCCTCACAAGAGAACTCTTATATGCCAATTTCTATTTAAAAAATGAGCATAACCTTCTACCTTACCTTTGGTAACTTCAATAGTGGCCTGGCTTTTACAACTATGAACATATTTATGCTAAAAAATATATTCAACCTTAACAGTTTATTTAATACTGAAATTAAATAAATGCAAGTTATGTATAAATCTAATAACTGTTTAATTTAACAATTTACTTTTAATACATTTAACATCTGATGATGAATTATAATAAAGATTGGATGATACAGTATGTGACTGCTAACTCTAGTTCAAAACTGGGTTAAAGTCCATATAATGTCCCTGAGTCTACCCAGCTCTAATAGGTACCTTACTCATGTTAGGGAAAGGCGGTTTGGCATTGTGCTGACCACACTATCCCTTCATATATTGAGGTCACTGATACAGGTGAATTCTACTTCACTTGCCCCATGGACCTAAGGTTCAAAGGAACTTTACATATAACAAGTGATGTTAAAATCTTTTCTTGGTATCTATAAATAATCATAATGATAAAATGATGTTAGACTTACCACACTCCTACAAGAACCAGACCATTAGATTTTTTTACCTTTGTCAACAGAGGTGTTCCCAACCTGTGCATTACTGCAAGACTTCCTCAACAGTAACAGAACTAGCCTAGGTGAGAACTACCTGGTCTCTGGTATGGTCACCATTGACCCTGATGGCCCAGGGGGTGTGGAGCCATTTGGTGTGTCCTGCTCATTCTCCAAGACCACAGTCACTGTGATTCAAAGTAAGACATTGTTTAATTACTTCTTCAGATGATTATTTTATGCTTGGTTTGTTTAACTTACTGCAGAACTCTTTTAAAATAGTAACAAAATGTTAGTTTGAATTTTGATTTTAAAATGTTTTTTAACAATATTTTATATCATACCCAACAAAATTAAGTATAAAGAACTGTGTAGCTTTTTAGTTGTTTATATCTTTACATTATAGACAAATGTCTTCATCAAATCGTTAAGCTAAATGTCTTTAAATTAGCATTCATCAAAGTGCATCATCTCAACTCTAGCTTTTAAAAAAATTCTGTTAAGATGTTTTAAAATTGTTTTCTAAAATCTAGATAATGGCAATCTAATGTCTAGCCCTAACCATGATCCAGTAGACAAATGCTTTGATATCAGCTACTCCGACCAAAATGGAAACCCTATTTCCGCTGCTCAAATATCGGTAACTTTTTACTTCTTATAGTTTGCTTTACATGTACTAAACCATTTTGATTATAATTAAATGGGCATGTTTTTTTTCACTCACCATGTTCTATAGCAATTAGAGAGTAACAAAATACAATCCAACCCCACATCAGCAGCATGTCTACTTATGCAAATTTATTTTTTCTTTCATTATACAAAATTCAAACTTTTGTGGAAGAAAACAGAAACATAAAATTAACAATATATGTTTTTTTGGACACAGCGTATGAATTTTATGAATAAATATTATTTCTGTAATACTGCTTGACAACAGTTAACATAACTAGTAACAAAGTGTAGGGACAGTCTACTGAAGTAATTTGTATACTAACAATTTGACTTTAATTTTAACACCTTGTGAACTATTTGAAATTTATTAATATAATTGTGAGCCTATTGATTGGCTTCTTTTTCTGTTTTAAATCTTTGTTAATTGTACTATTTATGGGTAATTCATCAGCTAAATTAATTGGACTATTCTTGGAAAACGAAATGTAAACCCATTAATTTACTTTCTACCTTAAGGCACTTGTGAAGCGCTCTAACAAATGTCGCCAAGACTTATCACTAGAATGTCAACACGCTCCAGCAACCAACCACGTCAACTACACATCTTGTGATGGCACACCTCAGAAAGGTAGAGTTCAGCAAACATTAGTTTATGCGCAATAGTGTTGTAAATTATTGTAACTTACTTCTAGGTGTTGCTGTTAAGGATCATTTAACACAATAGGGTTGTTCTAGTTAGAAAATTCTAGTTGGAGGCAAAATATCTTATCACTCTAAGCTTTACATACCATATATGATGAACCTAGTTAAAAAATTTTCTTAGCACTAAATGAAAACTGTGTACAGGTAACTTGATTTAATTCTTTAATTCATGTTTAAAATCCATCTTAATGAATTAGCAGAAGATTAAAAAAGTTGCTTGAAATCATATAAGTTAGATGTCCAAAGCATGTATTTATAGTTAATATAAAAGTTGCATGGAGTATGGAGATCATATTTTAATTAGTAGAACTGTTTGTATTTTATTTATAAAGCCTCAGAGACATAATGCATTTAATTGTTAGGTGCTCTGGAATCTTTGAACACTATAACATTAAGTAACTAAAATTTTGTCTCAATATTTATTGTTCCTTATGAAATATTTGTTCCACATTTTAAAAAAAAAATCTGTTTCAGGCTGGGCTGGGAGTTACAAACAGGACAAATGTGCCTGTGGTGTGAATGGAAACTGTGTGGGTGGGCCCACAGCCAGGTGTAACTGTGACATGAATGATGGGGTCGTTAGAACTGATGCCGGATCCATCATCAACACTGACAGTCTGCCTGTTTGCCAGGTATGTTGTGGCACCATTATTGTTCACATTGTGTCATAGTCATTGGGCAATATTGCACTTATCATGTTGACACATAATGCTTAATTATGTTGGGGGATGTCCTCTCCAGTGTCACAGTTAAGATTGAAAAGGAAAAAAATTGCAGGTTTTCGTTTTTTTGTTAATTTGTATTGTAAATCTGGTAGTAAATAGCAGTTCATATGACTACATCAATTTTAACATCCATTGAGCAGGTTTGCTTCAGTATTGAACCTAAACCAGGTACTGCTGACTCACCAGGCCCCCTGTCATATCTTAAGTACACACTTGGGGAACTCACATGTGATGGTGGTCAAGGTAACTGTAGAATATTTTAACGTCTAATTAGTGTAATGAATGACCATAATTTTTTGTTGATAAAACATTAAAAGCACAACATCAAAGTCACAAAATCAACCACGTTATATTAAATATTATTCTCATGTGAGAACACTAAAACAAAAAAGCAAAGCCTAGTTCTATTACTTATTTTCATCATGCTAGGATGGAAAACTTAACAGTTACATAATTAACTCTGCTAATTTAGGCACACAGAAGACATGCCAAGCAGCTCGCCAGTCCTCCGGGTCCAACATCAAAAGCTCATCTGAAGGTCCAGTAGCTTCAAGTTTAGGAGTTCCCATCCCCTTTGGCTGTAAATTTTATCCCAACCCACCTATTGGTGTTTTGGTAATCCTGTCTTTCATTTGATTTACATTAAAACAGTCATTTTTTTTATGCTCATGAATCTAAGTCTATACACCTCTGCAACTATTTTATTTTTGTAATTAATCCATCCTTGCTCTGCTCAGTACTATAAAAACACTAAAAAATAGAATGTTGAGTTTCATACTTGATTATATTGGTAGCAGAACATCAATAAAACAAAATAACTCGCAAAAGTACTATATAACCTTGTTTCAGAAAATGAAAGTTATCTTAAAAATAATAAGAGTGATAATTATATATATATTATATTATAAAAGGGAATGATTAGAAATTAAAGAAAAACAGCTCAAATCTTTTACAAAACATAATTTTTCTCTGTGATTGTTTTCACTTTATGAACTTTGCATTTGAACTTGTCACTATGATGATGTTTGGACTGAAGAGGTCAAGTAAACCAGGAAAAATATAGAAAACAGCCATAGCTGACCTTTAGTTTTCTTATATTAACACTTCGTTCCTGGCAATCCTATTTGATCCTTTCCAGTGTTTCTGTGGCCCAGTCCAACACTCCTCATATGTATTAATGTGATCTTTGTTTTACTAATTAATTTTTAGATTTTACAAAACAAATTAACATTGTGAATGTTTTTCAATGTCTCCAGGCTGTGAAAGCAGAAGATCCCTTGTTCCCGCCCACAATGGACAGCACAACTGTCGTCAACATCACCTACGTGACCATCAACATCACCATGATCAGGGACGTCATGCAGAAGAATGAATACTGCACCCAAAATGTCTTCCTGTTCTGTGCATCCCCTGAGAGCCTGCAGCTGGGTGGCAAGTATGGCTGGTACAACTTCAGAGAGGAGCTGTCTTATGAATGGGTGGAGCTGGCTGAAACAAGTGATGGTGAGTTACCTCCCATGGGATGTTTTTTTTTTTGTTATTATTATTAAAGGCCTTTATGCCATGAAATAAATAGTTTTCTGATTGAACTAAATATTATGTTGGCAGCTGTATTTAGGCATTCCATATTATATGTTTTTCATTTGAGTTTAAATTTTATACTTGTAGAGACGTTTAATGATTTTATATTTTCAAATCTTATCATCATAAAAAGTGTAAGATCACCATTCTTGTACATTATCGGTCACAAACATCAGTAACTTGATTGTGTTTATAACTTGACTCTATACTTACTCTTCTACACAGAAAAAAATAAGGAAAACTTTGTGATAAATTTATTTTCCTTGAAATTAATTTGTCATTTCAACTTAATTTGTTGTCATTTAAGCAATACTTTTGTACCTCTACAGAGATCACACAAGTAGCAAACACCTACAAAGATCTAGTTTCCCAGTGTGGCCTCCCTAAAGGTTTTAAAGTCACACAGAAGGAAAGTCTCCCCATAGCCAGGCTTGTATTGGCTGGGTCTGGTGTCACTGTTGTCATAGGGGATGCTGAGTGTCTTGGTACTAGTCAACTTTTTTAATTTATTCATTAACTTTGTTTTGTTAAATAATTTATAATTGTCATCTAATTAATATAGCAAAGAACAACAGCTGCAAAAGGTGGTTTTAAAAAAATATAATTTTTTCATCACTGGCTTAATTTTAATTTTGTTTTTAAGTAGTTATTTTGCATCATAAACATCGAAGACTTTTGTTATCTTGATTTAAAGTAATATTTGTACATGACAGACTTATGTTTGTGTAAAGACTTATGTTTGTGTAAAGTAATATTTGTACATTACATACTTTTATTTTGTTGGTGATGTAAAGTAATATTTGTACATCACAGTCTGTTATTTTGTTGTTGATGTAAAGTAATATTTCTATGTGACAGACTTTCATTTTGTTGTTGATGTAAAGTAACATTTGTACATTACAGACTTTTATTTTGTTGTTGATGTAAAGTAACATTTGTACATGACAGACCTGAAGACAAGCTGCCAGGAGATCCTCGACACAAACAGCCGAACAACTGGACTGGTCAGTGGCAAGACTTTTGTGATTGACCCCGATCGCTCCGGCCCAATCAAGCCTTTCAAGTCATGGTGTGAATTTGATGACACAAATAAAAATGGTGTCACTGAGGTACTCAATTTGAACTTTTTACAAAGACATTTTAATAGTTGTAATAGATGATAATATAATAAACAATATATAAGCTTAGATTTTTTTATATATATAACTGTTTGGTCTACCATAAATAGGGATCTCTCTAACAACATACATATAAAGAAGGAATTTAATAAATGAGCATTATTGTTTACATATGAAGAATGTATCAACTTAGGTTAACCTAATTGATCTAGAGAACCCAAAAACTTTAAATATTTAGAATAACAGTTTTTAAATAATACATAGAAGTTTTAAGTCTCTGGTTGTCATTAGCAATTCCAATACATAAGGCTAGTATGGATCATTCTTCCTGTGGATATAAGAAATACTTAATTCAGCCCTCAACTTTCAGATCCCCATCATTGGCAACTGGAGCTCAGTAGTTCATGTCACAGATAAAGAGGAAGTTGGAGTTTTTGAATTACCCATTCAGTATGATGGTGCCACTCATGAACAGGTTGATGCATTGACTGAAATCTCAAACTTCTGTTGGCAGGCAAGTAACCAATTAGCCTGGTGTTCAGTTAAATTTGTATAATTAAGGCAACATAAAAGAATTGTGAGTAGGCTGTTTTGTAAATTTATGTAATAAATACTATTATTAAAAATTTTCTGTCTTTTTTTTCAAATTGAATTTATACATAACTATTATCTATTTCAACACAAACGTTGTAATAAAACTTGGTTTTTATTTTTGTGTGATTTATATAATTGTTATTTCCACAGCTAAAAATATATTATAAACATGATTCATAATTAATATATTTACTAAATTAACATCTTGAATCACTTTACATTATTATAACCACAGGGTGTCTCCTTCCAATGTTCAAAATCTCCTGTCATGACCCCATTAGGAGCAGCAACCTTGAACTTTCCTAATAACAAAAAGTCTGCTGGCTTTGCGACTGGTAATAGATTTTTAAGAAATATTTTGGTTTCTTAATTTTATTCTAAATACATCTTACTCATTAATTTTTATATTTTTGTTAAAGTTTACTGTTTGTGTTGTGTAAAACACATCACATTTGTGTTAAAGTTTACTGTTGAAATGCTGCTAATCACACAAGATGATATTTGTGTTAAAAGGTAGCAACACATCTTTCCCTGGTTGTGCCTGTGCTCTGACTGGCACCTGCAGGAAAGGTTATGTCTGCAACTGTGATGCCATGAGACCAGCAGCCATAGATCAAGGTGCTGTGTCTGATCCTGTAAGTCCATGCACTGCATTTTACTTAACACACAGCACTGTAATCAACAGACACAACACAACATTTTATTTAACAGACACAACAAAATATTTTACTTAACAGATACCAAATCAAACAGATACCAAATCAAAACTAAATGTTTGGAGATAAATACACTATGTTTACAAAAACATTGTTTTTCAATTTCATTTTAGTCTACTACTTAGCAAAATGTACATTATCAAAATCAGAAATAATTTTTTAAAGAGACACTAAGGCTCTTAACTACTTGTCTACAAAGTTCTATACATTTAGGTATAATATTCTTAACTGTTTGTTAAGTTTTAAAATTATGTACAAAATATCTAAATCACCCATATAACAAAGTTTTTATCATTTTAAAATAAAGGGTTTTTCCCTTCATAAAGTACCCTATGCCTATTACATCATATAAGTTTTATCATTTTTAAATAATGTGTTTTTCCCTTCATAAAGCACCTTCTACCTATAACATCATATAAGTTTTTATCACTCTAAATAATGTGTTTTTCCCTTCATAAAGCACCTTCTGCCTATAACATCAGTGAGTGTAGGAGGCCAGATCCCCCAGATATCATATGCTGACATTGGTGTGACCAACATCAGGTGCAGCTCTAAACCCATTGGTGAGGCAGTTTTAATGGATCTGTTGTTAAAAATTGTAATAATAGCGAACATTTTAATTACAATTTTAATGTATTTCATTTTCTAAACTTTACAGTTATGTATAGTCGTTGATTTGGTGTAAAAATTATGAAAATAATTTTTTCATACCGATAATATTTGTACTTAAACATTACTTTGTGTGTTTATTTAAAATTTGGCTCTGAAAGCTTTAGAGTTTGTTATTATAATTGTAATATCTCTCAGACATTCCAACTTCTTACTGTATTTTGATGTATCGTTGATGTTTTCTACCATTTAAATTTCGACTTTAAAATTAGGGTTGAAGAATTGTAATGTTGATTCAATTACTTTCTAGTCCTACAGGATTTGTCATCGTCATTTGACCTTTTGTGGAATATAGGTGTTAGGGTTTGCTGTGAGAGGCTTCACCTTTTCTTACCATCATCACTCAATGTGGGCGTTACACTATCAATATTCACCCCTTATAACTTAGCACTTGGTCACAGACATCATAATATACTTGACACGATACTAGTTTTTACTACTCTAGTCTTTATTCAAAACATTACAAACACCAGTCTAGTCTTCGAGTGGACTAGTCATTGACAGGACACACAACAGCATAACCCGAACTCACTTATTCAATACCTAGCCCCTAAATCCTACCTTACATTCTATAGCAACAACGTTCTTTCTACCTTCTACGTCACTATCTCTCTATGGGCGTCATATCTGCATTGATTCAACATTCGTCCGCACTAATATTCACTCACACCTATCTATACTCACAGAACATGCATCATAACAATAGGGATGCAACCATGATATTCTGGCTGCTTTTTCATTTCTTCGCCCCTAAGATTTTGCTCATTTTTCCCCATAGTTTCGTGCTTGTAAATCTCTCTGACCACCTGCTCCTCAATATGAAATACAGGCATATGTTGACAGAAGTCTGAAGTTTGTTGGTATTAGTTTGTGTTATTCTCCACATCTGAAAACCAAAACAAAAAAAACAGACTTCACGTTGCTTTTAAATAGTCATCATAGAAAACACAGTGCTCTTGGTGTCCAGATCATGCGAGGGTGTTAAATATGTATCTTGCCTTTCTGATGCAGTTGGCTGACTGTGTGATATATTCCTCTATTCTTACTTTCTACACTTACATAATTTGTCAGTGTGGATAATTGACTTGTCATTGTAATTCTTATTTATATTTAGATCCACCAAGGGATTGTGCAGATGCCTTCAAGAAGAAAAGTCAGTACGGGATCTCGTACAGTTTCAGTTCAGAATATCTGATCAGCCCTGACCCTGAGAGAGTGAAACCCTTCATGGTCAGATGTGACTTTGAGTTGCAAGCTGGAGTCGGTACGTGCAGTCTTAAAATAATAATCTTTATAAACATTTCTATTTTTTTAAATTTCTTTCCTCCATAGCCAAAAATAGGGTTCTAGTTATTTATTTAGGGTTAGAGCTAAAGCTATGTTAGTAACAGGTATAGCCATCCATTCAAAATAGTACACTAAGAAGACTTAGAATTTCTAATCAACTAAAAACAAATTTTTTATTTTATTGTTTTAAATCTACTAAGCCCATGTTAAATTTGTATCCCCATCTTATATAATAGTTTTTAAGTGTTATAATAGTTTTTAAGTGTTACTGTCTTAAAGAATCATGTCACACCTCTTTTTTTAGGTGTTACCGTCATTGAGGCCAATGCATCAAACCAACGACCTTTGAACCCTGACCCTGAACACCCCAATGAAATTTTCTACTACGCTCCCAGTGAAGAGCAGCTTCAGGCATTGATCACACAATCAGCCTACTGCTACCAGGCTGTGCGCTTCGACTGCTTCGCCAGCACTGTATGTACTTTCAATAGACTTTTTTATTTCATCAAGTTTTAAAAGGTTGATTTGTTGAACATGAAAGTAAAATGAATTTAACTTGAAATAAATGAAAAAATGTATGTATGGAATGATAATTTCTTTATTTCCTATATTTGTAGAAGTAGTACAATAGTTTTCATATTAAACATGACTGTATCTTTATACTCATTAACCACATGATCTAGGCCAATACTATTTAAATTCAATTTTGTTTACATGTTAGCTTATTTATTCTCTTAATACATAATTTATCCCAAAGAAATAATGAGAGACTACTCTAATTACTCATTCAACCTACCACTGTTGGTTTCTCGTTTTTTGTAGTTCTTGAGTGAGGGGACATACTGGCTGACTCTGGGCTCCAGAGAGAAGAGACATTTTTGGGGTGGTGGTGAACCCACAACAGATGGGCGAGGTGGTTTGTGTGCTTGTGGTAAACAGCAGAGCTGTGGAGGACTGGACTCAAAAAATGGACAACTGACAAGGTGAAGGCTGTTCATTTCAATTTTGCTTTTCATTCATTTCACTGTTGATGATTAAATAGTAATAGTTTTTTTTATTTTTATTGCTCCATTGTTAATGTTAGTAAATAGCTTAAAAACTTAATTTCCCAACTGTTAAATAATTTTTTTTTAAAGTGTTTCAATGATATATATTTTAAATCTTTTTAAATGAAGAGTTATAATGCATTGACTCCTTTGACCAAATGGTGCCATCGAGAAGTTTAAAAAAGATTTCAAGTAGATTATCATTAACATCATTAACAATTTGTTTTGCACACTTAGAAGTGGTTTAAAATTAAAACTTTTTACTATGGATTTTTTCTGGAATTGGTAGTTTGTTAGATTATACACTTTAGTAAGATTCATTAGTGGAAACATTGGTAGTGTTTTAAAACTGCAAAGTTATTTGTGCAAGGCTTTATTTGTATTCCTTCATGGAGCAATTAATTAAACCCTTAATTCTATAAGTGTTTATGTTTATGCTGATGAAATTATCCTAGATAATAAAATCAACCGCAAAGCTAATATATATAAAGAATAATAAACACAAGCGACATTACAGTATTGCTTATAATCACTAATTAATTTACAAATAACAAATATTTTAAAAGATTCAATATAATTTAACAATTAAACCAAATGCTGTTGAAGACGCTGCAATTGTGATGCTGGAGATGAGAAGAAGCGCTCTGATGCGGGTATTATAGACATCAAGGAGTTTCTCCCGGTCAGCAAACTTTTTGTTGGACGCTTGTCCAAGTTTCAAGCAGCCAACATCACCATTGGGAAACTCTACTGCTCTCAGGAGCCATTGAGTAAGTTGGCCAGGATTTAATAATTTTTTTTTTAAATAAATTTGACCAGAAACAAACTTTGGAAAGGGTTTTATAAAAGTGTTATATTTACTGGTGACCCAGCATCTGTTTATGCAATTTGATAAGTTTGAATGAAAAGCTATTGACAACAAAATCTTTATGTACATTGTATCTTGCTAATTTAACTTTTTTATATTCTAGAGATCTACTAAATTAAACTTTTTATATAGAAAATTTAACTTATACACAAAATTTCACTTTGTATACAAAATTTCACTTTGTATACAAAATTTCACTTTTAATCAACAAAATTTAACTTTTCACATACAAAATTTAACTTTTTATACACCCTAAAATGATAACCTGCAGAGTTCAATGAGTGCAGTTTAGGATTTTTTGACTGCCATGAGAAGGCTGATTGTTTAGATGATGAGGTCGGCTACAGATGTGCCTGCAAGCCTGGCTGGACTGGAAAAGGGGTTGAGATGACCAGCAGTGACCCACGAGCTAATGGAAGAGAATGTATAGGTCCGTGCATGAAAAGTTTCTTGAAATGATTTACCTATAGAAGTTGGTTTGTTCTTTTATTGCAAATAAAAAAAAATCGAATGTATAGGTCATTGCAGGAAAAGTTTTTTGAGTACTTTGTTTCTATTAAAAACAAGAAATAATGAAATTTATATATTGAAATATTTTGTATTAATATTTATTTGGTTTGTATGTCAAGTGAGATCGAGAAATTATGTTAAACATCAACGATCACTACTGTCAGCAGCTTAGAATAAACTAAGTTTTTTAACCTCTGGTCACTCTAGTGATTGGAATTTTGTACTATAATGTACCTCAGATAAACCATTTATCTATTTCTCCTATGATCTTCCACATTTTAAAAAGACATTTAAATTCATTTTTAGCTAAAAAAAAAAACAAAACAGTCTATAGATTAAAACAAAAAATGTGCTATTTGTTACAAATATAGTGTAAAAAAATGACAGAAAAACTAAAAATGTAAATATTTTGTCCTTTAGATGATGATGAATGTGTGGCCAGCCACCCCTGTCCTTACAGCGCTACATGCACCAATACACCTGGAGACTTCTACTGTACCTGTAAGCCTGGCTACAAGCAGACTGGCAAAACAACCTGTGAAGGTACTTATACAACATTCAGTGTCAATTCCCAAATAAACAATTCAGTGTAAATATAGAAAGTGTAAAACAATTCAAAATATTATTTTTAAAACATTTTTTAATTTAAAAAATGATTGAAAAAATAAACGAAATAATATTTCTTTAAATATTTAAAATATGTAAAAATGAAGTATTCACCTACTGTGCATCAAATTTTAATAGATCTTAAGAAGATCAAAGTAAAATTTTATTTTTTAAATTCTGGATATAAATGTTGTGATTATCTGTACTATTTAACTGTTTTTAAATGTCATTTATTTGCTTAATTATTGCCAGATTACACACAGACATAGATGAATGTGCTAGTAAATTATTTTCATAGCTATATATTTTTTTTACCTACAGATAGAAAGGAGTATCTACGTATTTGTTTTTTACCAACATATATAAATGAATGGCTACATATTTGTTTGTTTACCAACAGATATCAATGAATGGCTAAATACTTATTACCTATAGATATAAATGAGTAGCTACATCTTTGTTTGTTTACCGACAGATATAAATGAATGTGCCAGTGCTGACTTGAATGAGTGCCATGCAGATGCTCGGTGTGAGAATCTAGATGGAGGATACAGATGTATCTGTAACAAAGGCTACAGAGGGGATGGATTTAAGTGTGTCCGTAAGTTCAAAGTCTTTTACAAGATTCTTATTATTATGTCATTCACACATAACTAACCATTGTTAAATAGTTTACTGAAGCAGAGTTTCTTAGAAAACAAATGTGCAAATCAGAATGATGTGTGGTATCAAAGTTTTTTTTTATATCACTGTTAGGGTCAGTTTGATATCAATGTTAGGGTCAGTTTGATATCACTGTTAGGTTCATAGTTTGGGTAAGTACATAAATCAGGATCAAGGTGACAGTTGCTGTACTTCATATGTGCCAGCTTTTTTTAATAGTACTAAAGTAGTTATCCATTCTAATCTAGTAAATCTTCACAATTCATACAATTCAAATTGTATTTTTTTATGTTTTAATTTTTAATACATTTTTACGCTGGCTGTTTAAAATTTTGAAAACAAATGGTTATGGTTGCCGTATTTCAAATGTGCCAACATTTTTTCAAGTACCAATGTAGTAACCCAGTCTTATCTAGCAATTAAATTTTTACACTGCCTGTTTCATATTTTAAAAATAAGTCTGAAGGCTTATATTTAACTTTCAGCTGTGGGTGAGTGTGCATGTTTTGGTGACCCACACTGCATCAGCTATGACCATCGCTGGCTACACTTCCAGGGTGACTGTGAGTACGTCATGTCACAAGATGGCTGTGAGGCTGGTCAAGAACCAACATTCAGGTGTTTATTTATTTTTAGAAATTGTAGAAACTCTATTTTATGCTGGAGCTTATTATTTGTAAACGGTAGTATTGATTAACAAAGATTAGTAAATAAATTTGAATTTATTATTTTATTTTCAGATATATTTCTTTAAATACAAGAAATTACTTTTCAAATTTCTTGTAAATGATGTTATCATTTTATATCTGTTTACATCACTATATTTCAACTTATAAGGTTTTAAAACTACATTTAACATAAACAAAACCTTAAAATATTATTTTAATTAATTAAATTTCAAGCTGATTTTTTTTCCCTACAATAATTATTTCAAAAGGGTTCTGGTGGAGAACTGGAAAAGAAACAACAAATTACCAGGTCATTACTCATGGATCAAAGCAGTCATAGTCCAGATATTTGACAAGGTCATTAGGCTTGAGCAGAACAATGTCATTTTGGTGAATGGGATTGCAGTCAAGCAATACTTTGATCAACACAAGCTTAGTGTCATTACCTTCAACAACAGAGTGGTAGGCACTACATTCAATTATTTTTATTTTATTCTTCTATCAAAACGTTGACACAAAAAATATAGAAATATAAATCTTCTTTAAAATAGTCGATAATTTCAAAAATATTATTCAGTGTCTTACCTTTACTTATTAGGCCTTTTAATTTTGTAGAAACAAAATTAGCATGTTATTTTAATGTGAATGGTTTATGAATATTCTTTCCTTACAATTACTACATAATTGATTTCCGTTAAAAAATTTAATGCTTTAGAAAATATATATCAAATATTTTGCTCTATTTAGAAACTTCAAACAGTCATTGGGCTTGAAGTGGTGTGGGATGGCAAAGACAGCATTGAGATAACCGTCCCTCAGAACACATCCAATGATGTGTGCGGCCTCTGTGGTAATTACAATGGTGACCCAGAGGACGACTGGACACAGGGCCCTGCATGTCCACAAAATACGGGCAAAGTGGTTGGTCCAAATTTTTATCTTGCATGTTTAAGGGATTTTAGTTGATACTGTATTATTATTTCACACTTTAGGATCACTTATTAATTTAATTATTTTTTAAATGGTGCTTCTTGGCAAGTTTAAGTAGTATTTTTTAATTTTATACATTAAAAAATCAATTCACAACTGATAATCAATTATATATATTTTAAATAAGTTAAACAGAGGTTGATATAATATACATTTTGATTAAATTCAAACATTTATTTTTGTAACTTTTTATGTTATAGTAATCTTTTTCCTATTTCATATTTATAATCATTATTGTTCTTAGATAATAAATTATTTTTCCTGATTTCTAGATTGGAAATGTTTCTATTTTTAGACAGACAACCCTTTCCTGTTTGGAACATCATGGACATCAGTGACATCACCAGAGAAAACATGTGATGTGTCCTGTGAGAATCAGCAGCCACCATCTGACCCATGCCTCTACCCACAGGTCATTGTTGAGAAGGAATGCAGCAAAATCATCAACCTCGTCTCCTCTCCTTTTAAAGTAATTGGCTTTAAATTTTACTTAAACAATGTGTTGATATAACTTGATAATCAATACAGTAGACCTATAGTTTCAAAAAATTAGCTTAGTTAGCAAGTACTTACAAAGGAGACCAGAAAAATTTGAAAGAGCTTTCTTTGGCGTCATCATGTGCTCTGGGCATAGAAAGGAAAAAATACAAGGGAAAAAGAGTGACATAATACTCTACCTTTTATTTTTCTCAAACTGTAAAAATTGAAATCTCTGTTTCTTCCATTGTAAGTGACAACAAATTTCCTTTTAACAAACCATTTAGTCGTGTCTGCTGCTCAAAAAACCTTCAGACATTGAAGAGTTCATGAAGTCTTGTGTGTTTGATATCTGCCATGCTGAGGTCAACTTTGAAGAGGATCTCTGCAACTTTGCCCAGTTTTTGAGTGTGGACTGTGCTGACAATGAAAAAGTGGAGATCAAGAACTGGCAGAAAGACGTACAAGTTTGTGGAAGTAGGTGCCCATTACCTTGTTATATATAGAATTTTTTAAAAAAGCAACTTTTTAGCGCAATTTCCATACGGACAATTGCGATTATTAACTCGTCATTTCTGGATGGATGGATGAATGAATGGATGTGTGTCTGCAGCTTTAAGTGGTATCTCCTCCTCAACGAAGCAATATCGAGGACTAGTTCCAAAAGCAAATATGTTAAGCAAGTTCCAAGGATGATTGTGGGCCCAAAAAATTCCCGTAATTCCTTCCTGGATTTCACGGAAAAGCCAAAAAACCTTGAACAAATGCAGTTTTTGGTCCATATCTCGGCAACCAGACCACTAAGCGACTTGAAACATTTACCAATCGATTCCTGCCATAATTTAGAACAATATTGCCGAAGAAAGTTTTCAAAAATATCCTTTCGTTAGGTCACAAAAAATTAATTAAGAATTTTTAAACTAAGCATCATATAGGCCTAGGATGATATTTTTAATTTAAACTGAGCATCGTGTAGGTTTTTAGCGCTAAAAAATATCCTTTCGTTCGGTCACAAAAAATTAAAAATTGTTATGGATAACATAAGGAAATTGCGCTTAAATTGTCACTAGACTTTTTATTAACTTGTTTATCTGGGGCTAATCTAACAGTGAAATACAGTACCTTGAAGTAGTGACAATGAAGCAATATTCTTTATTGCAGCTTGAAGTTATTTTCAATTCATTCTAATAGTTATGACAGGGCATAGTTAAACATAAAGATTACAAGACTTTAATAAAACAAAATTTAAGTGTTATTTTGATTAAATATTACAATGGTTCTGAAATATAGATGTGTATTAAAAAATCAATTTTTCTTTCAAGCATCTCTATTAAGGGTAGTGCCTTCCTGAGCATATCCACCTCCTTCCCACTGGATGAAATAGGAAATGTATTAAAATTAAATAGAAAACAAATACTTTATTCGATCCCCCCCCCCCCCCCCCACACACACACTTCATAATTTTCAAATGCCCAATCCCCCTCTCTCAAGCCCTCTGAGCAAAACATCTGATTTAATATAAAGCATTTTAGAGCCTAGTCTTTATTTGTAAAAAAAAATTAGTGAAATTGTTTTTTTATACTCCCATAGAGCCTGATTTATTTATAAAGAAATTTAACAAAATAGTTTTTTACACTCACATAGAGCCTGATTTATTTATAAAGAAATTTAACAAAGTAGCTTTTATACTCCCATAGAGCCTGATATATTTATAAAGAAATTTAACAGAATAGTTTTTTACACTCACATAGAGCCTGATTTATTTATAAAGAAATTTAACAAAGTAGCTTTTATACTCCCATAGAGCCTGATTTATTTATAAAGAAATTTAACAAAATAGTTTTTTCCACTCACATAGAGCCTGATTTATTTATAAAGAAATTTAACAAAGTAGCTTTTATACTCCCATAGAGCCTGATATATTTATAAAGAAATTTAACAGAATAGTTTTTTACACTCACATAGAGCCTGATTTATTTATAAAGAAATTTAACAAAATAGTTTTTTCCACTCACATAGAGCCTGATTTATTTATAAAGAAATTTAACAAAGTAGCTTTTATACTCCCATAGAGCCTGATTGCCCCAACAACCTGATCCACAAGGAGTGTGGTCCGGTCCACCCTGAAACCTGTCTGAGCAGATCTGTCAACAGCTCCCTGACCCTGGTACCAGATGCTGAGGCCTGCACTGAGGGCTGCTACTGCCCAGATGGTCTAATCCTGGAGGGGAACAAGTGCATCACTAGGGAACAATGTGGCTGTCTGTACAACAATGGATATCTTGCTGTAAGTATGATTAGTCCCGTTTGGTTAAATTTATATTCAAAGAACAATGATTTCAATAAGCTATTTGAATTCTTCATGGTGCATATGTTAAAATTCCTATGGCTTCTGCTGCAACACCTAATAGTCTACTGCCTATAGGCTACTGTATGACATGTGATAGTCTGCTAGCTTTAACACCCTAGTGGCTACTTTCTTTAACATTTGATTTGCCTGTATCTTTTCACTGCTTGTTGATTGGCCAGTGTCTTCACACTGCTTATTGATTGGCCAGTATCTTCACACTACTTTTGATCGGCCAATATCTTCACACAGCTTATTGATTGGTCAGTGTCTTCACACTGCTTATTGATTGGCCAGTATCTTCACACTACTTTTGGTTGGCCAGTGTCTTTACACTGCTTATTGATTGGTCAGTGTCTTCACACAGCTTATTGATTGGTCAGTGTCTTCACACAGCTTATTGATTGGTCAGTGTCTTCACACTACTTTTGGTTGGCCAGTGTCTTTACACTGCTTTTGGTTGGCCAGTGTCTTCACACTACTTTTGGTTGGCCAGTGTCTTTACACTGCTTATTGATTGGTCAGTGTCTTCACACAGCTTATTGATTGGCCAGTGTCTTCACACTACTTTTAATTGGCCAGTGTCTTTACACTGCTTATTGATTGGCCAGTGTCATCACACTGCTTATTGATTGGCCAGTGTCATCACACTGCTTATTGATTGGTCAGTGTCTTCACACTACTTTTGATTGGCCAGTGTCATCACACTGCTTATTGATTGGCCAGTGTCATCACACTGCTTATTGATTGGTCAGTGTCTTCACACTACTTTTGATTGGCCAGTGTCTTCACACTACTTTTGGTTGGCCAGTGTCTTTACACTGCTTTTAATCCTTGATATGGTACTGCATTAACATTGATGTTTATTAATTAAAATATAATACTTTTTCTTCTTAAAATATGATTTAATTTTAAAATTAACTATTCTACTTGCATAAACACCAGACCGCTATTTCTACAGTAAATGTGTATATTTTTATTGCTTGAGCTAGACTGCAGGTTTTGTTTAGGCCTACTTACTTGCATTTATACAAGATGACTATTTCATCAACAAATGTATTTGTTTCATAGCTTGGATTAGACTGGAGATTCTATTTAACTATAACATAGCTGCCACAATAACACAAGACTATTTCTATAACAAATATGTTTTATTTATTACTTGCACTAGACTAGAGATTCTGTTTAGGCCTACATACATACTTGCAATAATAAAAAAGGACTATTTCTACAACAAATGTTTGTTTTATTGCTTGCACTAGACTGGAGATTCTGTTTACCTGCCTGACTGCTCCAATATAGTGACATGTACTGGCACAAACGTGACCACCCACCAGCCTGTAGTTTGTCCTGAGAACCAGGAGTGCCGTACAGAAAATGGCGTCACAGGCTGCTACTGTGTTGAAGGTTTTATCAATAAAAATGGGCAAGACATATGTGAACGTAAGAATAGATAATATTTGTTGTCAATTTTAGTTATTTTTTTTATGTGAAAAGGATGTAAAGAAGTAATTAACAAAAGACATATTTTTTACAAAGAAACCACCAATATTTACAATTTGTTTTTAAGCTGTTATTAAAAATTGAATTAGATATTTACTTTTTTAATTAGTTAGTTGTTCTGTAGAGTTATCAAAATAAAGATTCCTCTTTAGACATAAGGATCCATTGGGCAGATGAAGTGGAGTTCGTATGTTACTTGACCTTGGCATATAAAGGGATAATGTGAGTTAGGTACCCAACAGAGTTGGGTGGACTCAGTGACGTTCCACTAACTTGAACCCGGATTCGAACTCAAAACTATCGGGTTAGCAGTCTAGCACTCCTCCGCTAGGCCACACCATCCCATAATATATTGTATATACCAAGTAAGATTTTAAAATAATAGCAACATTTTGTCTTTTTTATTTGACACTATTAACATTTCTCAGGTGATGTCTGTGCTGATGTGGTGTGTAAGATTGCTAACATGGAATGTGTCAATGGCACCTGTGTTTGTAAACAAGGCTACATCGGGGACTGTAACCAGTGCGAGGGTAAGACAGTTAATTAACTGTGTAGGCTCTAATGACTTGTGCTAATAATAAACGAGGGGAAGACCCTCTGGCTTATAATTAACTAGCTTACTTGTCCATTGTGTTTCTGCTGTCTTAGAAGAAAGGCTGACTCAATATTTTAAGAGGATTTCATTAACACATTACCTAATGTGTACTTTTAGACGCATGACACTGTTTTTCTGAAATCCTTTATTTTCTACTTTTTAGTGCATTATTACATAAAAGCTTGTTAAAACGTTTTTTATGGATTTTATTTTTCCTGTATTTTTACGTTGGTAGTATGGCAGTACTTTATTAGTGTTTGTTAAATTGGCCATGGTAGTATGGCAGTACTTTATTAGTGTTTGTTAAATTGGCCATGTTGATTAGTATTGTAACCTAAATTTGGTTGTGGTAAAGATTTATGAACCACGTTTTGTCACACCTATTTTTTTATAAATAAAAGCTCATTTATGGTAAATAACAGCGATGAAAAAGGTGTATTTTCTTTACTCGGGTGATTTTATTTTTAATATTTTTCACTATTTACAAGACACAAATCATAAGGGAGGTAATGGCACTAACTAAAGGGAAATAACTCACAAATATAGCTTAAAATTATTACGAATATTATATTTGCCAAAATTAGTCATTATATTTTAATAAATTATGTTTTAAATTTTGACTTTTTATTTGTTAATATATATTGTGATAAGAACACTTAATAAAAACTGATAACTTTATAACATTAATATATAATAATAGTAAATGTAACAATTGAAAACCATACTTTTATTTGTACTCGAGTTAGACCTGGTTCAAGCTTTTTTCACTATTCATTTACTCTGGTTTCTCTTCACAACGCGTAAATCTTTCGCCTTTTACTAAAGATTTCCGTGGGGAGGAGCATAATAATGAGTCTAAAACTCTATTTTTCAAGCCCTACTTCTGTAGGGTAATAACACTAATAAATGATTGGTAATAAGTACTAAAAGCAGGATATTGTTGAATATTTTATGTAACGTTTAAAACTTCATCACAGCAGAAACGTTATTATGAAACTATTGTTACAGCTAATAAAATTGTGCCATGTAGAATATTTAAAAACTAAATGTTGGTTTAACTAAATTAATTCATAGACTAATTGTTTGTGCAGCAATGTTTGTGACCTTTTTCCTTTTATCATGTATTAAATTTAAAATATATTAAATTTGAAAGCTAAAAGCTTTTTGAAGAAACTTAACTTGTTAGATACTATAACATTTATGCTTTACTCAAACAATTAACACTCTCTGCCTTTGTATTGACAGATATTGATGAATGTGCAACAGGCGGTCATAACTGCTCCCTCTTTGGGCAACAATGCATCAACCTAGATGGGTCTTTTACCTGTGGATGCAAACCTGGATATTTTAGCAATGGAGGTCTCTGCACAGGTATGATACCCGGCAGCCAAGGGCAATTTTAATTATACAATGTAATAATTTAATATTTTTTAAATAAAAAAAGGTCATTTTCATAAAACATTATTTTACAGTGCAGAAAGTAATTACAAGCATAGAGCTAGCACCTGTAAAAGTTCCCTCTTTAATGAAAATTTCTTGGTTTTAATGTTATAATGTCAAATTATTTCCAAAATTAAATATTTTTCTATGATCTCTTAAAGTAAATTTATTTCATGAAAATCTATGTTGCTTTTCAAATGGTGTTATGCTTCATTGTGGTCATATTTAAGGCCTGAACTGAAAAGATGTGACTATAAAGGGTTAAGTAGATTATATGAGAATCTGAGGGAGCCAAAGGGAAAGAAACAAAATGTCCATGGATAAGTCTGCCTTTGTAACGCAGTAAATTGTATGTTGATTTAGACATAGATGAGTGTGAGTATGGCATCCATAACTGCGGGGATCATGCTGAGTGTGTCAACAATCTTGGAGGGTTTTCATGCGAATGCTGCGCTGGTTACAAGAAAAACTCTCGTGGAGCCTGTGTCAGTAAGTTGCGGAGATTTTCTTTATTTCCCTCTATAGATTGTTTTTTGTTTAGTTGTGTTTTATCTCTTAACAGCATCATTCTCAGACTTCAATAGAACAGTTAAGCATAAAAAATAATGGCCTATTCAATGCGGCTGTAACCAATGTAACCACCCACACCCTGTGTTTTACTAAGTGAAATATTGAAATATTGGAAGTAGGTTTAACTGTAAAAATATTTTTTCCTAAATTATCGATAACAAACTAATTTCCAAAATTTTCTCTCGAAATTTTTTAAGTACCCATTTCAAAATATTTATGTGTGATTTAGGGAATTCATCAGAATCTATTACATCCAATGGCAATTGTTGTGCTTATCAATGAGATTGAGTATATAAAATGTAATATGTCATTTAGGGGACTCATCAGAATCTGTTGCACCCAATGGCAAATGTTGTGCTTGTCAAGGATTAAGATGCCCTGACCCAGGACAGGTGACCTCTTAGACCAGATGGTGATGGGCTTAGGTACCTCTTAGATGGTGATGGGTTTTTTTTGTTTTTTTTTAGATGAACTGAAATATGAGGTGATCTCTTAGATCAGAAGGTGACAGTTCTTGGGGTTTTTTTTAGATGACTTGAAATAGGACATGTGACTTCTTTTTTGTTGTGTAGTGTGGGTTTGTTTGTTTTATGACCCTATTAAGAAGTATTTTTAATTAATATTTAAAACAAAATAATCTGCAAAATAGCAGCTTATCACAAAGCAATTAATTCTAAAGGAAACTACTTTGATTTCAGGTTTTTTAAATATCAATAAATATATAATGATAAGAATGATGTTTCCTGTGTAGTCCAGCACTTTCTTTAAATTGTAATTTCTAGAGTTTATTTATTCTTGTACAAAGTAGTTTTGATTTAATGTTTTATACATTACCCATCCATACATAGTTCTGTTTGAAAATGTTACCTTAATGTTATTACTATATATGTAAATATGAAAAAGATAAACTATTAAATAGCTTATACATAGAAACATGTGCTTTTGTAACAGCACTGACACTGCTATCTGAAATCTATAATTTTTATGCTTTTTTAAAACTTCTTTTCTATTCTGAATTAAAGATGTGCAAGTAAACAATAAAAGATTTTTACTTGAACTATACATGTAACACCCAACTTACTGTCACCTATTGTCTTTTCTTTTCCTCTGATGTAACCATGTAGTGTGAATATTGCAGGTGTGTGGTACAGATGGCAAGACTTATTCCAGTTATAGATCTCTGTCTATAGCTGCCTGCAAGTCTGGGGATGAAAGCCTGAAGCTGGATTACAAAGGGCCATGCCAAGGTTTGTTTACTGCAATTTACATAATAACTGCAATCTGAACCTTTGTTTAATTTATGGTTTTAATTTTTGGTTTTAAAGTGTGCAGATAGAGGTTGTTTTTTAATGTTCTTATTTAATGGGGTGTTTTTTTATTACAGTTCTAAAAATATAGATAAAATATTGAGTTATTTTAGCAGTAGTTAAATTAATAGTGCTAACCTGTCCACAACCAGCATTATTTTTGTTGCTCCTCCTAAAAAAAATGTTGCGAAATATTTTTTGTTTTTTAAATGTTGCGTGATTAAAAAATCCCTGAAACCAATAGCCCAAATTTATTTAACTTCCTTCATTTCGTATTTACTAACCAGTAAGCATGTTTTGACTGATGATGTTTCAGGTACATGTGCTGCAGTTCAGTGTGAGAAGCAATACTCCAACTGCTCAATGGTAAATGGTGTGCCCCATTGTGCTTGTCCCACCTGTACAGATGTTTCATCCACTTACCAAGACAGTAAGTGCACTGTGAACTTTAACCTTGCAAACACAACAACCTGTTTTTAAATAGGCTCCAACTATATTTACCTTAGAGATGAGAAACCATAGGCCAAAAAAATAAATCAATTTAAATTGGAAAGAAGAAAAAACATTTGTGCATTGTTAAAATAATAATAATAATAATTTTTTATTAATCTTTTTTTAGCAGTTAGAAATAGGGCCGATATTGTTGTTTACAAGTTAACACAAAAAACGTATGTTTACAGTCACAGTCTGTGCTACAAATAAGATCACCTACAACAGCGTCTGTCATATGATGAAGGCAACTTGCGAGGCTGAAATTGTTACCACCGTCGAGGTGGAGTTCAGTGGGAAACCTTGCCCAGGAAAAGGAATACGTGAGCTATTTTTATCAAACTATAATTCTTACATCCCATTTAGGATAAGATGTATGAAGAACGTGACCTACTAATGTAGACACGCCATAATGCAGATAAATGGGACATGCTCGGAGTTGCCTGACACATCCAATTAGTTTGTTGTTTTGTTTTGTTTTTTTTGCATTATATCTCATATCATCAAGTTTTCATTTTCACTTAGTTGAATAAAAATAAAATTAGCCTGGTATCATAATCAGAATTAATCCCATATAATTCCCCATAATACAGTATGAAAATCCTATAAAATGTGTTTTGATTTCCTTATAAAATATATCATTTTCCTTTAATGTGATGTCCTAATCCATCCCTAATAATTTGTTGCTTAATTCCCCTTTAATGTTATATCTAATTCCCTTTTAATGTTATGTCTAATTCCCCTTTAATGTTATATCTAATTCCCTTTTATTGTTATATCTAATTCCCCTAATTCCCCTTTAATGTTATGTCTAATTTTCTTTTAATGTTTGTATCTAATTTCCCTATAATTTTTTTTCCTATAATGTAGTGTTAAATCTTCAATAGTGTTGAATAATTCCCTTTTGTATAACATTCCCTCACATCTACTTCCCTCAGCCCTCGCTGGACCCTGGAGTGACTGGGGACCTTGTAGTGAGGATTGTAAACAGGGCACAAGGAATCGAACCAGGGAGGTCTACTACAAGGATGAGTACACTGAGATCCATGACATAGAATTTATACCCTGCTACAACACATGTGAAAATGGTTGGTTATCTTCTCTTTGCACCATCTTTCAGTTACTGTTTAAAAGATAGTTATTATAAACAAGAATAGGTTTGATATTTTTATTTTTTATGATTATCAAACTACTAAAGTGTGATTTTTGAAATGATATCAAAGTGTACTCTAGCACACAGTTACACTATTCTATTCATTCAGAGTTAAGGTAATTTTCTACTCTACCAGACCAAAGACCTTCAAAAGATTGTGTTGGGTTTCTTTTTTTTTTAGTAAACTTTAAAATGATATAATTAACAGTAACAGTGTCAACATAAAATCTATAATATTATTTTATTAATAACAACCCAACCTACTTGTTTTTTCGATAATCCATTTTCGCAGTTTTTTTTTTTTTAAATCATGTTGTGTTTTGTTTTCATCTTGGTGCAACTCTTTGTGAAATTGGCTAACATCAATGCCTCTAGTGTATGTTGGCACTAACTACTCTATTTTCATGGGTTACCTCCCTTCAAACCAGGCCCTTGTCAAATGGACACCTGTACTGTGCCAGGCCAAGTGTGTATAGCTGATGAGATGAACATCCCATCCTGTCAGTGTCCCATCTGTGAAGACTTTACATACAACCCTATCTGTGGCAGAGTTGGTATCTACATCAAGGTAAATAAATACATTCTACTGTATACGTAACATGAAAATGTGTCCATCACATGATAGTTAAAAAACAAATAGTTGTCAGACTATGAAGTCCATTTTTATACCTGGCAATCAGCAGATGAGGTAGTTTTTGTGGACAAATGTAGGAATATTATGTCTATTAGTATTAAAGTATTATAAAGCCCATTTAAACTTATATTTTCTGGCTTGACAGAGCTAAAGCAGATACTGCAATCAGTCCTTGTTAAATAATTAAGTTCATAAGCAGTCTCATCATTCAGTGTTGACTCCTTCTCTAACTTTTTTTTAGAAAGTAAAAAGTAGTGATTTAAGTGATCTCTATACATATAAATAATTTTGGACTGTTTAAAATGACTAGGTTTTTAAAAAAATTATTGCAGGCATTTAGTTTTAACTTATTCCTCATATCTTTATCTTTCAAGTATAAGTAATTTTAGTATGTTTATTATTTTTTTATTAATTTTTGTCAAAATAGACTTACGAAAACGAGTGTGAACTACAGAAAGATATCTGTGAGAAAAAAACTGATGACTACGAGGTGTTGGAGCCAAGAGCTTGTGAAGGTGAGTTTATTTCCTGAGGTGAGAGCTTCATTGTGAAGGTGAGTTTATTTCCTGAGGTGAGAGCTTCATTGTGAAAGTGAGTTTATTTCCTGAGGTGAGAGCTTCATTGTGAAGGTGAGTTTATTTCCTGAGGTGAGAGCTTCATTGTGAAGGTGAGTTTATTTCCTGAGGTGAGAGCTTCATTGTGAAAGTGAGTTTATTTCCTGAGGTGAGAGCTTCATTGTGAAGGTGAGTTTATTTCCTGAGGTGAGAGCTTCATTGTGAAGGTGAGTTTATTTCCTGAGGTGAGAGCTTCATTGTGAAGGTGAGTTTATTTCCTGAGGTGAGAGCTTCATTGTGAAAGTGAGTTTATTTCCTGAGGTGAGAGCTTCATTGTCAAGGTGAGTTTATTTCCTGAGGTGAGAGCTTCATTGTGAAAGTGAGTTTATTTCCTGAGGTGAGAGCTTCATTTTCAAGGTTAGTTACAGTGTGCAACCTGACATAATGAGCTCTTCATTCAACCAAAATCTCTGAGCAATACATTGTGGGTTTTTTCTTAAGTAAACTTTAAACAACAAAAATAATCTGAATTTTATTTAACCAGTTAAAGTTTACTGGATATGAAGAAAACTGCAATGGGAAATTTTTTTTTTTTTTTTTTTTTCAAAACTGTGTGAGCATGCTATATTACATCTTCGACAGATCGTAGTAGCACAAAGAAAAATGGGAAATAGCGGTGATATGATATGTATTAAGATTTTACGTGATTTATATTAATATATCCAGCCATCGCTTATACTTTATAGAACTATCACATCTAATGGGCTAGTTTAAAAAAATAATATTGTTTTCTTATTTTCCTTCACATAAACTTAACATTAAAAGACTCCCATTGAGACCCTCCCTTGGTGGATAGGGAAATGCTCTACAAATAAGAATTTTATTTTTTCCCCTCACTAAGGACATGGAAAATGGCTTTACAATATGTTAACAAATTGTTTAGAAGTATTTGTGTTTCAAATCTGCAGAAAAGCCAGTAAAATGTGGTCTAGTCCGCAACTATAGGCTGGAGAAAGATGAAAATGGTTGCCAAGCAGATCGCAGCATCAACTTTGGCTTGTGCTATGGTGGCTGTGATGATGATGCTGAACTCTGTTGCTATGGCAACAAAGTGGAACAGAGGAGTGCTATCATGTACTGTAAAGATGGCACCAGCAGTACAAAATTTGTAAGTGCTTAAGAGTAAACTTTTTACTAGGATTGTGGTTAGATTTTTTTTTATAGCCAATGGTGGTTACTAGAATTTGATTGGTAACACTAAGACTTGCGGAGAAATTACCTGGTGTATAATTATCTTGTTCTTTATCTAGGTAATTATCATTACTACATTAATATAATTGTCTATGATGACTGTCATTAACTGTTCATAAGAATATACCTATCTATTTAAGCTTTTATACATTTCATAGTTTTGTTCTAAACTAAGCTTCCAGAGTTCTGTACACATGTAATACAGACAATCTAAAATATAGATAAATAAACAGTTCCACAGTCTGATAGAAAATATTATGATTGCTATTTGGAAATCAAATCGCCTGGATGGCGAATTGAGACAAGCACTTGTTACCCATATTTCAGGCCTCCTTAAGCTCACAACACAGCTGCCAGAGGGGTAGGGAGTTATAAATACAACTTGGCATCAGCTATGTCATATGAGCTACCGAAGGGGAAACAGAGTTGGTAATCTTATCGCCTAAAGGGCACTACTCCTATTTGACTGGAGTTATCTCACCTACATGGGTTGCTCTATCAGTTAACAAGGCCTCGTCTGCTAGGGGGTTTGAGCTTGGAGCAATCATACACTTTCCACACTCAAACATACCGTCAATTGTACACATTATCATTAGCATATTTGAAAGTTTGTTTATTAAGTTATTTTATTTCTTCCTCAGTTTGATGTGATAGTGGGTTGTGACTGCGTCACCAAAGATCAAGTTGGTGCACCAAAGATGCAAGAAGTTCAGCCATAATGTTTATACATGTTCAGATCAACCCCCACTTCTTTAATAATCTACACTAAATAAAATTCTGCAAATAATAGCAAATACAGCACAAAAATGTCTTCAGTTATTTTGTCTTGTTTGATTGTCTAGGCAGAGTTGGGTTCAGAGCTTGGTTTATTGCTTGTTCATTTTGTCTCAAGTGTAAAGTGATTTAAGAGCAGAAGAGTCAGTCTGAATTTTGAAGAAAAAAAACACCTTGAAGAAACGTGTTACATGTTTCATATCTCTTCTCTGGTTTCATCTGAAGGCATTAGCCTTGGTGAATTTAGTTTTCACCTCCAAATAACCCCCTCCCCTACATAATTGGGGGGGGGGGGGTTCATCCATAAATGACGTCACGCTTTTTTAACGATTTTTACCTCCTCCGTCACACGTCGTCACAAAAAGCCAGACCCCCCCCCCCCCCCAAATGACGTCACACCTCAGCCTACAACCTCCTCAAAATTGCAGTTGAATTTTTTTTTTAAACATCGATACTTTTCCAAAATCTTGTCTGAAATAAGTCAAAATAGAATATTTTAATCAATTCCTATTATAATTTATTAAAACTGCTTTCTAAAACGCTAACTAACGTCTAAAATTCGTTTCCTAAAATTTCTTATCTATAAAGCAAAAGTGTGACGTCACACCATCTGAACCCCCCTCCCCCTCATCACACATCGTCACAAAATTACCGACCCCCCCCCCTCCCCCTACGAGTGTGACGTCATTTATGGACGACCCCTTCATCTCTATCATTTATTAAAATAGTCATTATCAGTTGGGTAGCCTAAACCAGATGAATTTTCATTGAACAATAGTGGTGTACGTACAGATCTAAGGACAAAACTTATATGGGAATAACTTTGGCCTATATTTATCATAATTCGACCTACTTAACAATTAGCAATTCATTTTTAGCGCAATTTCCATTCTGGAGAATTGCGTTTATTAACCCGTCATTCCTGGATGTATGAATGGATGGATGAATGTGTGTCCGCAGCTTTAAGTCGTATCTCCTCCTCAACGAAGCAATATCGATGACTAGTTCCAAAAGCAATTATGTTAAGCAAGTTACGAGGATGAACATAGGCCATAAAAATTCCGGGTTTCTTTCATGGATTTTCCAGAAAAGCCAAAAAACCTCGAAAAAAGCAGTTTTTTGCCTATATCTCGGCAACCAGACCACTTAGCGACTTGAAACATGTACCAATCGATTCCTGTCATAATTTAGAACAATATTGCCGAAGAAAGTTTTCAAAAATATCCTTTCGTTCGGTCACAAAAAAATTTTTGAAGTAATTAAAATTTGGACCGAATTAGTAGGCTTTTTTTTCAACCACACCACACGCGTCATCACGTTCAATAGCTGCGCCATCACGTTCAATGGCTGCGTCATCACGTTCAGTAGCTAGGCGCGCAATGGTTTTTAGTCATGTAACTCTATTGTAAATAAAACATTTAAAATACTGAAATTTTTTTTAATAAAAAACGTTTTAATAACTAACCAATGGTTTTACTAACCCTGCTCTTGATTTACGCTACCACAGAGCTATTTTTAGATAACATAAGGAAATTGCGCTAAAATTGTCACTAGACTTTTTAATTAACTTGTTTTTTTAAAGAACTACTAGAACTAGAAGTCCAATTTCAATATTGAAGAGTCCATTCCGGACAGCGGTTGCACAATTATTTTTTTAACTAGCCCATTAGATGTGATAGTTCTATAAAGTATAAGCGATGGCTGGAGATATTAATATAAATCACGTAAAATCTTAATACATATCATATCACCGCTATTTCCCATTTTTGTTTGTGCTACTACGATCTGTCGAAGATGTAATAGATGGTTAGTAAATTGTAATATCGGGTTTAGTGTTAAGCATTTGTTAAGGCCAGAAATGATGGTTAGTGCTGCCAGTAGGGTTAGACTAGTTAGTTAGAGTTAACATTAAATTAGTAATTTATTCAGGTCCGGTAAACACCCTTTCTAAGAAGATTCCGTATCAGTTATAGCACTATCGCCATCGCATCGGACTAAAATAAGAAAAGTTTTATCCAGAAATCTACCAGTAGTGAGTAATCTTATGGGCAGAATACTGATACTGATAAGTGATAGGCTAGGCCTACTTACTTAATAAAAGTTAAAACTATTACTATTTCACACATTGTAACAAAAAACATCTAAAAAATGTTTCGCCTTTTATCTATTAGATCTAGAATCTAGGTGTGTGGACAGTCAGAGTTTCTTCCAGGCATCTCTTCGGGGGGGCTTCGCCCCCCCGAAAATTTTTTACCGCCCCCCCGAACGAAATGAAATTTATATAATTTATATAGAAAATATATACTTTTAACAGTGTCCGCCCCCCCGAAGAAAGTTTACCGCCCCCCCGAAGATTTCAAGTGCCCCCCCGGAGAAAAAAGTCTGGAAGAAACACTGTGGACAGTACGTTTAGGCTTAGTTTGTATTTTTCAAGCCCTTCGTGGTAGAGTAAGACAATCGATGACGTGGACTTGTTGAAATTTTTTTAAAATTCGAATCATAATTTACCTCAACCAAATTGCCGTAATTAAATGAAATTAATTCGAAATTAAGCAAATCAATCAATTGTACATTTTTAAAAGTTTCAAAATATCTTTTATCGAGCTTTAGATTTGTTTACGGATCATGACATTTTTTTCAATATTTTTTACTTTGGTAGTATGGCAATACTTTTAATATTAGTGTTTGTTAAATTGGCCATGTATGGTAACCTATATTAGCTTGTGGTAAAGATTTATTATTTATATACCGGGTTTTGTCCGTGCTCCTGTTTGAAAACTAAAAGCTCATTTATGGTATATAATAGCGATGAAACATTTTTATTGTATTTTCACTGTATTTTCGCTGACAAATAGACCACACGCGGGTGTTATTGTTTTTAAATAAATGTTTTTTGTATATTTTTTCAAAGACGCAAATACAAAGGGAGATAAGGGCATTGACTAAAGGAAGGTAACGCAAAGTTATAGCTTAAAATTATTAAAAATATTTTATTAGCCTCAGTATGGTATTATATTTTAATAAATTATGTTTTAAAATTTGTTAATGTATAATGTGAGAAAAACACTGAAAATAAATATAATGTTTTTATAAAATAAATAAATAATGAGAGTAAATGTAAAAATTAAAAACCATAGTTTTATTTGTACTCGAGTTAGACCTGGTTCAAACTTTTTTCCAGTTTCAGTTACTCTGGTTTCTCTTCACAACGCGTAAATCTTTCGCCTTTTACTAAAGATTTCCGTGGAGAGGAGCATAATAATGAGTCTAAAATTTTATTTTTCAAACCCTACTTCTGTAGGGTAATAATTCAAAAAAAGATTGGTATTAAGAACGTAAATCAGGATAATATTGAATATTTAGTGCAACGTTTAACACTGCATAGGTCAGCAACTGTTGTGCTCATTTCGGACATCTCTGGGAAATTTTATTTTCCCCCCTCCCCCGTTACTTAAAGTGAGTCAACTTTTTATGGGTCGTGGTTTTGTGTACATAAAACACTATGTTTACTTAGAAGTCTTGGAGTTGGATCTTGTCACCAAAAAAAAAAAAATCAATCCTCACCCTGATGCTAAACCCTAGAGGTTAACAAGAAGTTTTTATGGCATGCTTTTAAACATTCAAATGCCTTGACATTTGGCACATATGTGCATTTTAACTGGAGCTGGCAAAAAGTGGCTGTACTTAACTTTTCCGCTATGCATTTTTCACATTAGTGGTGGGTTAGATTCAAAGCTTTGACAAAATATTACTTGTTCATTATTGGTCTCCAAAATTTGCGGGTTAGTTTTAGTTCATCATAAAATTAAAAATGGATGGGGCTTTAATTGTTTTGACAAATCACAAGTGCAAAATATTTGTGAAGGATGAATTTTAATGAAATATCTGTACAGTGCAAATCATGTCCAAGTATTCGAATTAAATATTTACAAAAGTTACTTAAAAGTAATTGATCAAATTAACAGACACATAATTATATAAACATTAAATATATTATGAGATGACATGAAACTTGAAAAAAATCAACATCTAAGGTTTTTTTAAATAGTAAATACTGATGTCAAATTTGTGTTATCTTTTAAATCTACAACATAATTGACTCTGATAGGAATTATATTTGAGTAAAATGGCACTCAGCATTTTTTTTAATAAAAACATTGTTAACACACTCGAACTCAATCTATGCAACAGCTATATGCTAACTCATTATTATCTCCGATGATAAGTTCAAGTCTACTCCAAAAGAAAATACTTCACTGTAACAGTAATGGTAATAGAAATCATTTTCTGAGTAATATTTATCATATTAAATATTTTGAGCGAACGAAATACATATGGCACTTAGTAAATAAGTTTGAACGGTCTTTTTTTTAAATATTCAAATAGAATTCTCTTGAGAATATAAAACATCCAAATTTACACATAGCTTGCTACTACGCATCGCTAACAGACAGCTTCACTTTATCTCCACTGCTGTAGGTGGCGTTGTCAAAACCAGAGCTAGGAGATGACCTCATCGATAGAAACATACTTTGCAAATTGAAATAGCGCATGGCCACAAATATGACCACAACAGTCACAGCTATAATGGCTAGACATCCAATGACAATTCCAGCAATGGACCCACCACTCAAGCCTGAACCTAAAGAGAGATAGAAAGAAAATGTGTTAGGTATATCTGTATACAAGCTCTCTAACAATAATGCGTTGCCTTTTTTTTTCTCTGAAACTTCCAAAACAATACAAATTTTTAAAAAAAATGTGTTAAATACAAGCTTTTAAACAGAAAAAACTTAAACGAACTTCTCCAGTTGTAAGCTTGCACAAATATTGTGTAAGGTAAATATTGTGAAGTCGTAGTAGTACATGATAGCAGTATTAAACTTCACACAATAAAATATAAAACATGTAGGCCTAAATGAAAACACAAAATTATAAAACTTCACATATTAAAACAAAAGATGAAGCAATATAAAATTTTACGTTATGAAAATAGGAAACATATAATGAATTGTATGTGATGAAATAGAAAACCTGAAGTATAATAAAATTTAATATAATGAAATAGAAAACATGTAATTATATAAAGCTTAATGCAATGATAGTTAAGTTTAGGGGGCCTTTTTATACCTGACTGTCAATAATGTATAGGAATTAGAGTTCATCTGTTTCTTTGACCTCAGCCTTAATGTGAGTCAGTTATCCATCAGAGTAGGAAGGGCTCCAAAGTCCAGACTTTCAAGAATGCAGTTGAGCACAATATTTTCTGGCAACTCCGTCCCATATAAAACATAGCAATTTAAAACTTTATATTTAAAAAAAGAGACTTACTTCCACCAGAGTCTGAAGTGTATTTACTTGTGATGGGCTTATTCTGATCACCACCAGACGTTACAACCTGGCCACTGGTAGCTGGGCCATTTGTATTCACTGGTTGTACCTGGCCACTTGTGCTTTGTATAATCTGTCCACCAGACGACTGGACAGCTGGTGCGTTGGTTGTTATGACAGCCGATTGAGTGGTTTGAGTTGTTGCTAATGCTGTTGTAAAATATAACAATTTCATTCTTTTTGCTAAATTTTGTATCGCATTAATGTATTTAATAAAAACTATTTTTACTGTAAGAAACAGGTGTGGAAAGCATACAAAAATTAAAAAAACACAAAAAATGTTTCTATGAACAGGTGTTCATCTGTTTGCACAATTGAAAAAAAAATCTATCTAAAAATAATATTCTAGCAGCATACAATTTCATCTGAATTACTGAAGAAAGTAAGTTATATTATGGATGTTGTTCAAACAGTATGTAATAAAATAAGATTTTATTTTCACTCTCCTATTTATTTCTGATGTCTTCTTCTTCTTCGTTCTTAAATATTAGTGTTGAAGGGGATCGAGATTTATCTGCCAGTGGGTTTGAACTCCAGACTTTGTTCTAATTTATCAACCATGAACTTTTTGCCGACTCGACCACGCCTCCAACACAATTAAGCGTTACGTGTTAACTGGTTATGCGCCATTGAGGCGATTGACTCCGATTTCAGCCTGCTTTTCTTTTTGGATTTGCTTCCATAGCCTTTGTCCAACCAAGAACAAACTACAAGGCAGCAGTTGTTTAATTTTGGAGTTGTCTCTCCTAGAAGAGTGGCTGTCCCCAGCTAACGAGCCTCATCTGCCCGAGGGTTTGAACTCGAGACTTTTCGGTTTAGCAACCATGAGCTTTACCGACTCGACCACGCCGACCCCCATTTCTGATGTGATTTGTTCACTTACAACAAAAATAAGACAGACAATTTGTGGAGAATTAACTCCCTGAAGCTACTTACATGATGGCATCTTACAAATGTAGGCATTGTTATCAAAGCAGTTAGTGTCAGACCACATTCCGTTTTGTCGAGACATCTTATTTCAGGGAAAAAGAAAAATTGTAACTTAATTAATTTACATAACAAATTAGACATCTACTGAAATAGTTTTATTATTGTATAAGAAAAAAATAGTTTATCTTAAAGTTTGATAAAGTGTTTGTTTTAAATTTGTTTTAAGAAAAAATTTAGAAAGATATTCGAACCTTAGGAGCTGTTTTAATTTTATTACATACAATTTAAATAACTTGTTTGTCTGGTTTAATTAAGAATTACATATATAATTTTAATGATAAAACTTAATACAATATTTTACTGATGACGAGACAAACCTTAACACAATCTTGATGCATAGCAGCTTCTGGGTCGCTTGGTTCATTCATGTCCCAAAAAAGATACTCTAGCGGTGAAGAATCAGCCCAGGCAAAGCCATCTAAATATAATTATGCACACATGTCTTATATAAGAATAAATTATTAATTTACCAGACAAAAATAAAACTTGCGTATTTATTAAAATTAACAAAATGTCTTTAAAAGAATCTAAAAATAAATTAAAAGTTAAGTTTTAAAACCAGTTTTCTTATGTCTTTAAAAAGATTTTTGAAAAGATTTTTCAATTACGTCCTTCCCCCCTGTTGAGACCAATCCAAGAATCCAAGTGAGAACTTGTGACCAAACCAGTCAGGTATCTGGCCTCATCATCTGTGTGTATTGTCAGAAGGACAGCACCAAGCATACGGCAAGCATAGTTGGCACCTGGCCAAGTTTTGGGGAGTCTTTTCTCAAAATAGTAACAGTAGGCGCCATTTAATTGCCAGTTTCTGTCAGGGCATGCTGCGAGAGTCACTGGTATCGTTGGCTTAGGTGTTGGAGGTGGGACTAGAAAAATTAAAGAAATTTGTTTAATATAACTTAATAGTGTGTTGATGGGTATCGTTGGCTTAGGTGTTGAAGGTGGGACTAGAAAAATTAAAGAAATTTGTTTAATATAACTTAATAGTGTGTTGATGGGTATCGTTGGCTTAGGTGTTGAAGGTGGGACTAGAAAAATTAAAGAAATTTGTTTAATATAACTTAATAGTGTGTTGATGGGTATCGTTGGCTTAGGTGTTGGAGGTGGGACTAGAAAAATTAAAGAAATGTGTTTAAAACTTAATAGTGTGTTGATGGGTAACTTTGGCTTAGGTGTTGAAGGTGGGACTAGAAAAATTAAAGAAATTTGTTTAATATAACTTAATAGTGTGTTGATGGGTATCGTTGGCTTAGGTGTTGGAGGTGGGACTAGAAAAAGTAAAGAAATGTGTTTAAAACTTAATAGTGTGTTGATGGGTAACTTTGGCTTAGGTGTTGGAGGTGGGACTAGAAAAATTAAAGAAATGTGTTCATGGCAAAAATATCAGTAAAACTTAAAAGTATATTTATGTAAAATTTATAAAATGCTGGAAACTAAACATTAACAATATTGAAAGCAGAAATCAAAACTTTTTTACTAATTGAATTAACCTCACTGCAGCTACCATTTAGAGATAAAATAGCAACTGTAGGTTTAAGTTGCATTATAAAACAAAAAAAAGACTTATATGAGCATTAAAGAAATTACTGTTTTAAAACTTGCAGTCCATAGAGCAGATGTTACTTTGGAATATGAAAGAATAGTGTGGTTATCACTATGCCCAGCTATCTTTAATATACATAATGTTAGTTAGGTGGGTGGACTCAAGGATGTTCTATGGACTTGAGGCCAGGGTAGAACTCAAGACTTTCACACTAGCAGTCCTGTTACTGTTTGACCAAGTTGTCCCATAATATGAGAAAGGGAAACTTCATATCTCATTGGCTGCTCATGTTATGTTGTGGCCATGGCAACGGCTAAGGGAGATAATAAAGATTTACCTAAGCTCTGCTCACAAACAAAGTTCAGCTGCATAACACAAGGCACATCCTGCCACTGGCCATCAATGGTGTGACTGGCACAAGAATCCATGCCAGTTAGTGCTGGCTGGCCTTGACCCCAGTTGGTGAAGGCCACTGGCCATCCATCAGACCAAGCAAATCCTTGTGTTGTCTGCCAGAATTGTTGGAAAAATTTTGTTTAAATAACAAATATGATTAAAAATATTAGCCTAATCTCTAATGAAAAGCTGCTAGTCTCATATGGACAATTCAACTATAAGGACAATTCAAAACAACCTATAGTAAAAAAAAATTATAATAATTGTGTTAAACAATTATTTTGTCACTTTAAATAAATCTTAAACTGTTTTTTTTTTAAATATTTATTATTATCACAAGGTTTGAAAATTGTGGATAAAGAATTTTGTGCAAATTAAAAAAAAAGTTGTAGGGGGCCTATGACAACTTACACAAGTAAATCTCAAGCCAAAAAATAAATGTATGACAACTTAAAAATGTAAATCTCAAGCCAAAAAATAATTGTATGACAACTTAAAAATGTAAATCTCAAGCCAAAAAATAATTGTATGACAACTTAAAAATGTAAATCTTGAGCCAAAAAATAATTGTATGACAACTTAAAAATGTAAATCTTGAGCCAAAAAATAATGTTATGACAACTTACAAAAGTAAATCTCGAGCCAAAAAATAATGTTATGACAACTTACAAAAGTAAATCTCAAGACAAAAAATTAATTGTATGACAACTTACAAAAGTAAATCGCAAGCCAACCCACATCTGTACAGCATCAATTTTCTGGGTTAATATTTCAATAAAGGCCTGCTCAGCGCTATCATTTAAATGACAAAATGCAGGTTGTTATTTTTTTTAAAAAAACATAACCACATCACTTTGGGGGGCAGGGAACAAAAAATTAAACTATTATTTTAAAATGAGGAAGAAAGATTGAAACTATATTTAAAATTTTAGTATTCCTTTTTTAAGTCATTAAAATAATCCGATAAGTCTTTAGCTATGTATATTATATGTAATGTATGTATATTTTAAATTTCTCATTAATGTTAGCTATTATTTGATCAAAGTGTGATTTAAAAGTCAACTTACACACTATCCAAACTGACCAAATGACCACCTTCAGCTACACAGTAGCCTTCAGCATCTGTCCAGTTGAAGGTGAAAGCGTAAAACCTGTAACAGCTGCTCCTGAATCTTGTATAGCCATTTGGACAACCCTGTATGTTTGGAGCTTCTGTAGGCAACATTTCACCTGGGGAAAAAAAAAACCTTGGCATTGAATGGTTGTTAAGCAGAGTGACAGAAGACCATGAAGAGTAGAGAACATTGATGAAGGCCCTAAGCTCCTTAGGGAACCAATAATGATGGTGATGAAATGGATAATTAAAATAAAAGTTTTTTGCTATTATCTATTTCATCTTAGCAAGTGGCAGTAGGCAACTACACAGAAGGAAGGTTTAGAGTTTAGTATTAAGGTGCTATCTAGAAAAAAAAATGGGAGTGAGATAATGTGAATAAACAAACATTTTTTTTAAATAAAAATAATGAAATTGTGTAACATTTGAATGTGGTTATTCTTTAAAGATATAGAGACCCCCAGTTTACTAAATACAAAAGCAAAGAAAAAATTCTTAAAAAAAATGCTTCAATAACAATCTTTTATGTAATAATGCACTAAAAAAAGTAGAAAATTAATTATACACTACTATTTTAAAAACTATAATAATATAAAGAAAAGTATGGGTCACTTTAGTGTCTTTTGGATACCTTTACTAAAATTTAGGAAGAGACCCACGCTTTTCTTTATAGTTATTTAAATAGTAGTGTATAATTTACTTTCTATTTTTTAGTGCATTATTACATAAAAGACTGTTATTAAAACATTATTTATAAAATATTTTTCAGTACTTTAAATTTTTTATTTACAGTAGAGTTGCATGACTAAAATCCATTGCACACCTAATGAACATAACAAAGTGCGTATAATAGTGCGGAATAGTTGGATAAGACTGCCTACTTATTTGGACACAATTTTAAATAATTCATAAAAAATTAATTAGGCATCCAATTAAGTCAAATTTAATGTCAGATTGATGTGTCTTCATGTCTTGAACCACGTGCCAACTTTGAACCGGATCTGTCACTTTGAAGTGCCCGAAATTTTGCTCGGGCATTTCGATCTAGACAGACAGAAAGACTGTCCACAGAGGTAGCAAGTCAAATAAAAGCTTGTAAAAAGGGAAAAAATCCACTAATGTTTGAACTTAAAAAAATATTTATTATGTTTACATTATCACTCTTCTTGACTTGTTATGTGTTTGGTATTTCTTCAGTTGTTCCTACTTTACACCCTACCTGGTTACTTTCCAAAACTTGTGTTTGATATTTATTTTAAAGCATCTGGCTTTAAATGCTTAACTTAATCCTGATAAAATCATTTGTATCTCATGTTAAAAACAATAGAATACACTTCTATAAAATTTCATTGACCTAGCAACAGTAAGTTCTGACTTTTTGTTTTCTATTTCACATATATTAGCATAATTGTCAATAAACCATTCATTATTCATTGAGTTGTAACCATTTTTACTATCACATTAGTAAAAATTACAATTCATCATTGTATAAAACATTGTTAATTTTAAATACATGAACATTGGGCATATTTGTCAAGACACCATTTACCATTCAGTGAGCTCTTACCTTTGTTGCTTTCACAGATATAGGCATATTTGTCAAGACACCTTTTGTCATCCCACTTTCCAATGGTCTGTACGCCTAGCTCCATGTCTACACAGTCTCTCTGGACAAGTAATAATATGCTGACTATACCAGAACTTTTTTTAACAAAATACATTTTTAAATGAATTAAATTTTTAGGTCAAAAGTGCCAAGATAGAAATATCCCAAAATTCAGTGGTTTAATTTTTTAGTTTTATTTTAATACACTCATTCTCACTTGATAAACAATGTAGCTTTGATAGTTTATTTTGATACATTTTTTTTCACTTATCTAAAAGTTAAACAAAAAAATAATTCAATCTTTAAACTGAAAATGACGAAAGACTGCAAAAATAATTACTTACTCTATTGTTTGGATTGTTGTCATTTAAATTTTCATCTGGTTGCCTTAAGCCCCAGTAAACAAAATCTACATTTTGGTTGTCCATCCACCCAAATTGGTTTCTGGTTTTTCTGTCATTTAGGCCAATCCAAGCAGGCGTTGTCAGGTCAGCAATTAGGGTAATTAGAAACTCTAATAATAAAAATATTCATTGAAATAATATTTACAACTATTTAGAAAGATAATACACAGTAAAAATAAATATACATTAATATAAACTATACATGTCTATAGAAAAATTAACTTTTGTGTATAAAAAAGTGTTTATTGCAGAAATGAAAATGTGGCAGATATTATTAAAGGTTTATATGAACTATAATTATTGTCCTTCATAAATTTAAATTTTAAATTTTAAAATTATTTTAAAGTTATATTTTAAAGTTATCAAATATATCTTGACTCATGTAGATAATAGCTATTAGGGATTATTCAGAAATGGTGTCATGCATTTTAAAACTATTCCCCCTCTCCTACTTCCCCATTGTCACTGTCACACGGTAACTAAAAGCTAGAACTCCCGCCTCCCCATTCTATGACATTACATGTGAGTCTTCTATCCTCTAAAAGCTGCCATTTTTTTTATAAACAGTTATTTCTTTTGAAAATATTCACAGAGTATAGTGATCCATTTTTTATTTTTGCGACACAAAAAAAACCCACTTTTTTTTTAAAAAATGCACACAAAAAAATCAGTCTTTAATTGTACATATCAAAATGCAAAAGTGAGTTATCACAATTTCTACCCTGCCCCCATGTAACACATCATCACAACAGCCGTATCCCCCCTCCCTCCCTAACAAGGAATGTGAGGTGGTTTGTTGACTCACTTTCTTCCAGGTTGCTGTGTATCGACGCCAGAGTAGACTTGTGAACCATAAGCTCGCATGCTTTGAAAGACTCCTCAAAAGTTTTACGTGTGGCTGGTGTTGTTCCACCAACAGCAAAACACTTTCTCACTGAAAACCAAAAACTGGAATTACTAGACCTTGCTAAGGGAAATCACTCTAAACTCAGTTTAATTAAGGTTTTCCTTGTTGCACTATACTATTAAACAAAGATCCCATAATGAAATATGTGTGAATTATTTTAAAAACTTGGAATTTTCCATTTTAAATTTAAAATATTTAAGATTTCTATCTTTAATACATAAGTGAAAGAAACAAATAAGAGATTATGATTTTAAATGTTTAAAACTTTTTTTAAAAAAATTAATGAAAAGGAAAATACATTCATTGTTTTAACAAGTTACCATAGGCCAACAGTTTTCAAAAGAAAATAAATAGTAGATATTTAGAGGCAATATATATTTTAAATATTTTGTTTCAAGAAAAAAAATTCTATCGACAAGTTTTGAACTATGACAATATGATTTTTATTTCCTCAGCAATTGCCTTGATGAAAAGGTACTTGATGATTGTGCAAAAACAAAAACAATATATTCCAAAAATAAATAGCAAACATAAAAGAAAACAACTATTGATATTTCAAAACTATGAGTTTAAAATATAAAAAAGTATCTAGAAAAATGTAAATAAAGATATTACTCTATAACAAAACAGGTTCCTTAAATTTAGAAAATGGTGTCAGCTTACCTTAATATTTAAAAATACATAAAAATTACTTTGGTTTATAATTTAATGAGAGAAATGAAAATATTTAAAGCACTCACAAGAAGGCAGAGAGTGAAATCCACTTGGGCATCCACCTTTCAAACTGGGAGTCGCCAACGTTGGTGGGGTGTAACCATTCAATCTCTTTTTACACACAAATCCTCTTTTCTCTTGACAGAAATTATCATTCCAATAGCCTGGTAAAAAGAGTGTATAGGAAATTATTGATAAAACAGTTTGGGTGTATGTTACATTACATTGAAGCAATGTCACAGAGTAAGTAGAGCGAATGGAAAAATATTATCAGAACATAGTTGTAAGTAATGAGTATTGAAAAAGCAATAATTGAAACTAAATTAACAGAAAAGGAATCTAATGTTAATTCTTAACAAAAATTAATCAGAAAATTTATTGGAAAAGGGTCAGAACTAAGAAGTGTAGGTTAACCTGTTGAGCCTATTTCAACACATCTTTCTGCACCATATGCATCATCAGGCTGATTAAGTCCCCAGTGGATATAAGACACTGGACTAAGATCTGTCCATCTAAAAGACACATTTGATTTATACTTTTTTTTTTTAATTTTAGAATATTTTAAATATGTCATACCTAAATATTATTAAGAATAAAAATAAATATTAAAATTAAGTATTTATTTTTATGACATAAAATTATAACTTTGACTAACCCATAGGTAAACAGGTCAAGGTCATTTAATCCAATCCAGAAGGAATCCACTGGATTTTGGCTAACCTGATCATAATAACAAAACAACAACATTATTACCAGGCAAGTTGGCAATATGTTGGCTGAGAAATATGGCCTATGTAATGGCTATAAGGAGAAGGTAACTTCCAAGTACCTTATAAGTTGCCAAGTCCCAAAAGGAAATTAATGTTGTAAAAATATATTAGAATAGACACTTTCCCTTTTAGGTCCACATTAAGAAACTAATAACACATTTGATAATTTGAACCAGCATGTTTACTCTAAACAACAACCATAACCAGTACAAACCATTGTGGTGATGTATCCATTCTCATCATCACTAGCTATGCTTGCAAGCTCAGCTCCCATATTCTTACATGTCAGACGAGCATCAAACCAACTGGCCAGAGAAGAGTCGCCCCCTGGTGCGCTCACAAAGTAGCAGAAGTTGTTGTACAGTGTCCATGAGGAGTTGCCACATTGTGCAGCTGACATGTTGAAGGAAATTTTAAGGGAGAAATCTCCGGTAAAAAAAAAACTTTTTTAATTCTCGTTAGAAAACAGTTATTTCTTTACAGCTTGATTAAGATACATCCGCATATGCATTTCTACTAAAAAAAATTGGTGGAAAAATCTATGAGAGCGGCGGCCATCTTGAAAAATTAACCCCTTCGTAGGTTTTCCACCATTCATAAAATATTACATTTTAAGCCCAATAAACAATCAATTCGTAATTTTCTTCCATATTTTGGGGCACTCAGCTAAAAATTTTAAGTGCATATCTTCATACTAAATTTTTATGAATTTTCAAAATTTGTGTCCGTTCAAAACACTTAACTTTGGGGAATTTTTTTTTACCGGAGCCTTCCCCCTTTTAAAGAAAGAATGCAGGTTCAATTACAAAGATTAGTTGATGGTTAGTGTTCCATGATATGTCTTAAGAATAAACAATTCAAAGACAAAATTTCTCAAAGGCAAATTAATTTAATTATAAATACTACAGGTAATAATATCTTATGGAAAAATATCTTTGAACAAAATAATTTGTCAGGGATAATTAAAACTCAGCTTTTTAGTTGGTTCAGACATTGACAAAATGTTGTCCCATAACAATTAATTCACTGACTTTAGTTAATGTTACCATAATACAACATGAGTGACATGTACAGCACTTATTATGCAGTGACTAGCATTTATTATGAAAGCCTATCGAAAGCAAACATTTTATGGCAATTTTTACTCACAGCTATGTCCAGGTGTTATAGTTGGTCTAGTTGTGGGAACCACAGCTCCTAAAATGGTATAATTCAGTTTTTCAGGGGAAAACATTCTGAACAATGAATAGTTTACAGTACAATAATAACTATAACTAAGTGACAGTATTGTCAAGTGGTAGAGCACTCAACTGCTACTCTGAAGGTCTCAAGTTCAGATCTCAGTCCTGACTTATGACTGTAAAACGTCCCTGAGTCAGCCCACCTCTGGTGGGTACCGGACTCACATTCCCTTCATATGCAAAGATGTTCTTTGGATTGTTAGGTTTGAAAGGGGAAGTTTACAATAACCATTAGTTCACATCACAATAATTAATATTAGCTAATTAAAATGCGGACCAATAGCACTTAATGTTTACTAACTTTTTATAATTACATATATATTTTTCCTAGTTTTACTTTTAAAAGGCAATGATGACTTCATATGAAGATGAGGTGATAGTGATTGACCATATATCAGAATTTTCAAAAATATTTTCTTTAAGCTTTTAAAAACAAACAAAAACCTCTGGGTGCTTGGCAAATGAAACTGTTGGCAACATAGCAGTAGTTGTCATTCCACTTATTGGCAGGTAAAGCCCACTGAACACAATCTTCTCTGAATAAAATTAGTATAAAAAATGTTTAAGAATGGTAAACACCTGATAAGTAAAACTAACTACTTTATCATCACTATAACTGAACACACAGAAAAATTAGTAGAAATTCAAACTCTTTGGGTATTCAAAAAATATGAACTTTTATGAATATTATGAAGACTAAAATAAAAATATGAGAATTGTTATTGTAATAATAATCGAAAAAAATTTTAAAAATTGTTTTAATTATTTAACACAAAAATATGGGCTTCAATTTTCTTTTTGAAAACAGATAACACATTTCAATAATATTTGGACTTACGAATTTAACATGTTGTCTGGTTGGTTTGGTGCCCAGTTGGTATATGTGACCCCTGACCCATCTGTCCATTTGTAGCCTTAAACAAAAATGTTAATTCATTACCATAATAAAATCTAACACTTACTACATTACAAATTATAGATATTAAAAAAAATAAAAATTTTAATTGTTTTTTTTTTAAAGTAACATGTTACATTGCTACTGAAATGTGCAATGTATTGATGAGTTGACCCAATGATTATTGCTGACATGGATAAAACACTTGCCTTCACAGTGGTCATAAAAAATTAATTTACATGAATCTGAGATGTTAACCTGAACTTTATAATTCAGTCAGACAATTTTTGACCAGCTATATCTGTGGATTTCATTTCTGTAAACCTCACTTTTTATTAAATCTTTTCGTTTTACCAAAAATTACACTTTTGAAGACAACATGGTCTAGTTATGCAGTGATTTTTACATTTTCAACAAGAAAAAGCTAAACTGATTTTGGCTGTTTTCAAATTTTGCTTAGTTAAAAAGTACTAAAATCATTAAAAAAAAAAAATCTTGTGTAAAGTCAGACAAAAAGCACACAATCAAGTTTTTAGAAATATGTCCATTTTAATTACACAACACTTTATTTTTAAAAATCATCAAAGGGTATCTCAAGACTACACTCAGAGGAAGCTATTATAATGTTTAAAAAGATTATTATAATATATTAAAGTATGAAGGCCCTATAAATATTCATATAATTATGTATAATGAAATGAATATTTGTTAGATCATAATTGCATGTGGCTATTGAATAAAAACCTTACCAGCCTCAGTATCCCTATCATTTAAACCTATCCAGTAAGTTCCGGCAGTGTTTCTGACAACAAAATATAATAAAGTAGTAAACAGCATTCAGCAAGAGAAAATTGTTATAAGAAGTAATTTTTGAAGTAGATAAAAATCTAGACTCAAATTAAATTTAGACTGATTACCTTAGTAACAAACGACTAATTAAAACAAGTAGCAAACGCCTAATGAAAACAATTGTGTTACTTACTTCAATAAAGTTGTTCTGACCCAAGTTTCAAAAGCAGAATTTGGAATAGAGATCAAGGTGCCACCACTAGCTCTGCTTGCACAGTAATCTTTGGCACTGGCCCATGGGAGAGTAGCATTGGTGGGCATGATGAAAGGCTAGTCAAAGCAAGAAAATCTTTAAATGTAGCGGTTATATTTTTTCTCTATTATTCTATTATTATTCTCTATTATTATATTTTCTATAATCTTCCAACCAAACTGCCTCAATCACCATTTAGCACCATGATTCAAGGGTCAATCAAAACTCACCATGTAACACAAACTTCCCCTGGCTGTCCACCCAGCCGGACAGGGCAAGGTGGGGGTTGTGGATGGTGTGGTCCTGGGTGTGGTAAAACCAGTGCGTCTTGTTTCACAAATGTAAGGCAGTGTTTTGCCACAGTTGTAATTTACCCACAATCCTGTAGGCCTTGCTGTTTGCATACCCACACATGTGTTGGCTTCATTGGCATTACCTATAAGGGTATAACAGTGACAGTGGCTACTATTATACAGAATAACAGTATTTAATTTAAAGTGATGAAGATGAAGGATGATCTAATAAAAAGGTTTAATTAACCCGTTTTACTAAAACATGTAACAAATTAACTTTCTTTTAAATTTAAAATTTTTTATATAGGTATATTTTTTAATTAAAAAAAATATTATTTAGTTATTAGATATAGATGTATTTTTAGAGGTTTCTATGTTTAATGTAAATGTCTAAGCTATTTTATTGTTAATTTTTAAAAAGCATTAAAAATGTGTAATATTAGAACAGCTCTGCTCTTTTAAAACTGAGACAAACTGCATAACCAAAATGAAAAATGAACACAACTTTAATATTAAAAATGTTATATCCTAAAGCACTATAATAATAAAAAGAAAAAGAACGCAGCAATAAAATCAAAGACCTGTGTGAGTGTTGCTCCATGATGTAAAAGAGAATGGAACATTTGAAACCCATCTGTAAACGTTGCTTGTTGCAGACAAACCAATCCAATAGGCCTCAATGGTTTTTCCAAACAATTCAGCTGCCAAAAATGACTGGATCTGACTTTAACATCACACAAATAAATTTTAAAATTATTTTATAACCAACTTAGTGTACTGTTTTATCACACACTCAAGCTTTCTCCAAATGTGCTTTTTGTAATACTTTTTTTAGCAAGCAATTAGCCACACAGTCTCTCTGTTTAAAACAAGCCTCATTTGCCATATGCATCTCATTATCATCTGATTTACCAGCACCAAATAACTGGCATAAAAATTTGAACTTCTTACACAACAGCTAGCTAATTTATTTTACTTACACAGACTTATTTGTCTAGTGTATCTTGCTTACACAAAATATACTTATATAGTGTATATTACAGAGAACTACATATATAGTAATTCTTACACAGACTTACTTATGATTATATGGAGTATCTTACTAACACGTGTTTACTCATTTTGTGCATCTTACACAGATTTCTTTCAGTAGTCTATCTTACTTATTACACAGACTGATTTTTAGTGTAAGATACAAGTTACAGATTTGTAGTGTATCTTACTTTTTACAAAAACATTTAGTATATCTTATTTATTACAGACTGATTTAGTCTATCTCAGAGGCGTATCGACCCTTCCCGGCGCCCGGGGACAAACTTTCGATTTGCACCCCCCCCCCCTCGAATTTTTCATTTGCACCCCCCCTCAAACTTTCAATTTGCACCCCCCCCCCTCGAACTTTTCATTTGCACCCCCCCTCAAACTTTCAATTTGGTGCCCCCCCCCCTAAGGTCGGCGCCCGGGGACATATGTCGTCCCCCCCCCTCGCTACGCCTCTGATCTATCTAACTTATTACAGACAGATTTAGTATACATTATCTTACTTATTACAGACTGATTTAGTATATCTTACTTATTACAGACACAGACTTACACATTATCCACAGTGGCTAAAGTTCCACTCTTGCTTACACAAGCTGCTTTGGCTTGGTTGTAGTTTACTGCTGCATCATTGTAGCTATAACATGAGGCTCCATAACCTATTGAGTTCTAAAATTTAAAAAATTAGGATTGGAATAAATTTAAGTTATTTTTTTAAATTACTTTTGAAATATGACCATCTTGAATCAAGACTTTACTTTACAACATTCAACGAATTTACCATTTTTTTTATAGTGTTATAGTGTGACATTTTTTTTATCATTTTAAAATTAGATAAATAGAGTACAGTTTTGTTACTTGTGAACTTTTTATTATGCATGATACATTGCCCTATTTTATTCAAACCTAAAAACATTTAGCATATCAACTATTTACAAAGTGACATCTTTAAAATAAAGTTTAATGAAAAACACTCACTGCAGGACATCCTTGCTGTTCAGGCGATCCGTTTTTGGGTACGACTTTTTTTCCTTGCTTACATGCAATCAACTTGTATTTGGAATCACAAGTAGCGTCATTCCACTTACCATTCTACAATGTAAACAGAGTATTATTACAATGCTGAAAGTAGGCATAGGTACATAATTAAGTCCCTGTAAAGACAGAGCAATCTACAGCCAGTCAGGATTTGAGCCCGCCATTCCTCACGACAATGATTCACCTCGCCTTTCGCCCTCAGATTCTACAATGAAAAATTCTCTATAGTCATCATACAAGCCATGATCTTCACTGGAGCTGCTAAAATCTATATTGGTCATTGTAGCTTGTGAATATATTATTAGTGAAAACAAGTTTAACCTGAAGCTAATGCTAAGCCTAACTGTAGTCTTAGTCATAAGCTTCTGATCAGACCTGTCACTAGCAGCATGTTATTTTTCCTAGTTAGATTAGAAATATTTTAGAACCACTGGAAAAGTGTTGAGCTAAACCCTGTGTTACTGTAATTGTTTACCCTTGATCAAGAGACTGCTATACAAAATGACTGCCAGATTTTCTTTTTGACAAGATGTAAAAACAAAATTTTAAAAGCATGTGGATCTGACAAAACCTGGTCAAATTTTTATGTGTTAACAGTTTGTGATTTGGCCCAACAGTCCTAATCATCAAATTTGTTTAAAATCAAACACAAAGTTAACATTTAAAATGGTGTTGGTGAGGCTAATCTAAACATTATAGTCTATACAAAAAGCCCTTTATATTAAATTCGGTTAAATCAAGACTGCTCTCTAATATAAATAAAATCTGTAAAAAAATATATCTTATTTCGGGCAGCAAAATGTATAACTACACATGGCTGTATATAGGCCTACTGTAGATGTACACAAAATAAAACCTGATGAGAAAGCTTACAGCATTTGCTAGCATAGTGACACAGTCTTCTTGATTCACATTGTTGGGCTCTCCTGGGTTCCAATTAGTATAAGTAACCAGAGAGTTGTCTGTCCATTCAAAGCTGTTCTCCCTTTTTTGATCATTGAGACCTATCCAGACTCCATCATTATAACCTGCAGGAAATGTAGGTTGGGAGGGGGAGAGAGGGTTAACAGAAGGTTACAATACATTGCTGATATAATGATTTATGAGGTGTAAGTTTACACAAATGTTTTTTTTTTAAATTAACTGTAATTTCTATTTTTTTAATCCTCAAAAATTTAGTAGTCCAAATATGTGTTTATGAGTAATTACCAGAAGTCAAAATACTAAACATAAATAATAAAGCAACTACTATCAAGTTCACTATCTAACTAGGTAATTGATACAGTTTAATATATTTTCTTTAAATATTCCCTCCCCTGAACTTAAAAAAATTATTTATATTGGTTGTTAGCTTATTTCCATTAAATAAATTACAGTTGGTCTATATTTTAAGTTTCTACCTAAATACAATATCATAGCACAATAAAAACAACTAAACAAACCAAAGGGAGGCTACCCCTTTCTAATTCTTAACGACAATCATTGGTAATTTGCATTAAAAATACTTTAAAATTAGCTCACCTCTAGTGATCTGGCTGAAGATGTACCTATTTTCAGCATCATTCGCAATTGAAGCAAGCGTAGCCTGTTTTTGAGAGCAGAATGTGCTGGCATCAGAAAACGTGACCCCATCCGGATACGAAAACATGGCGTAACAGGAAACACCATAGCTTGTCCAGCCCCCTGGACACCCCCACATTTTGTCAGCTGAAACAAAAATCCACATTTATGATTAGATATTTTTACATTAAATTAATTATCAGCTGAAACAAAAATCCATGTTTATGATTAGATAATTTTACATTAAATTAATTATCAGCTGAAACAAAAATCCACATTTATGATTAGATATTTTTACATTAAATTAATAATCAACTGAAAACAAATCTACATTTATGATTAGATATTTTATATAAAATTCATTAACAGCTGAAAAGAAATCTACATTTATGAAAAGACATTTTTACATGGTCTAATTAGATTATTTAGTACATATATAGCACACATACCAAATAGGGGGTGGTGAGGAAGTTTTGATTGAAGAAATTAAATTTAAGTACCATCTAAAAGCTCCCATAAGAGATTGTAATATAAATACTAGTAGAGGCTCACATTAGAAGACACAGCTGAACACTGCATAGAATATTGGCGCACTACAAAGTACGCTGGAAGTACAATAAGAACACAGCAGAAAATTAAAAGTACATGAGTAGAGCATCAGAAGAACACTAAGTAGAACATCAGAAGAACACTTAGTAGAACATCAGAAGAACATTTTGTAGATCATTCACAAGCATACAAAGTAGAACATCATGAACCAATGAGCAGGTGGGCTTACCTGGGATTCCTGCTGGTGATGAGGCTGGTCTTGGTGTAGATAAAGTAACTCTCCCTGAAAAAAGTTTACATTTAATATTGCTCCTACATTAATGTGAACAATTTTTCTTCCCAAATCAGTTAATTAATAATAATTTGGTTTAAATAAATAAATGAAATGTTCACCTTTCTTTTTGCAAATAAATCCATAACGGTTATTACAAGGGAGGTCATCCCACCGTCCTGATGATTTTATCATTACTGCACAATCAGACTCTTGAGCATTATTAGGCTGGCCTACAACAAATTGCACAAGCATAAACCCTCATATTAATTTATAATGTGATAATAATATCTCTCCATATTGGATGCACTAAGAGAAGTAGAATCTTTGGGGCATTTATTGTGGTACATCATGATCCTTCTCAACTTTTGCCGGTATGGTCCAAGAGAATGCTAAGTCATAAATTTGACACTAACTGCAGCTACATCATACATTTTCCTCTTACTATAGCAGCTGTCATCTCCGCTGTTTTTTTTTTGTTCAACTGTGCTAATCTTGTTTCATAAAACATCCAGAATACTACATTAAAGAAACATGAAGTCTGCTGGAAAATTTAAACCAGTATAACAGCTGCATCCCAGTTTAAAATACTCAAAAAATTGAGTATAGCTTCAACCGAAAGTTGTTTAAGATACAATAGAAAGACCTCACCTGAATCCCAGTTTAAGAAACCAAATGGTGAGTTGTTGATCCACTGCCAACCTTTCTCAGTAGCCCTGTCATTGGCACCAATCCAGAACATGTTACCCGCGTATGACATTGAACGCGCTGTTATAAAAAGAATTTTGTGGATGAATTTAGGTTAGGATTACATAAAATTACTTTAAATTCTAGTTCAATTCTAACCAAACCTAAAAAGCAAATTTTTTAGAGTATTCATGTGGGTGGTTTCTTTATATATTTTTTAAAATTTTAAAATACATGTGTCCAAAAGTTTATGAAAAAAAAAAACTCGGCTAAATAGTTTGTGTCAATCACTTGAGCAAATATTGTCATTTTAACCATTTTTCGTCTAGGTGAAAAATTTCAACATATTTCTTTCAAATAAACAAGAACTAATTGTATACTTTATTATTACACAAAACTAGCATATAGACCAGAGGTCTCCAAACTTTTCAGCCCGATGGCCGCATTAACTATCAAATATTAGTTCGGGGGCCAGTTTCTTCCAGGCATCTCTTTAGGTTGGCGGAACCCCCCCACCCCATCCAATAAATTATAATTTATATAGAAATATATACAAATTAAAAGTCTCTGAACTATCTATTGTTGAGCCGATGTGACCTTATTAAATTCACCATCTTCACCACATGATTCAGTACACTGCTAATGTCCATATATTTAGCACACAAAGCTTGCTTGTATATAATACAGTGCAGGAACATAGGTTGTAGAACGTTTTTCTCATTTGCTTGTCCAACCAAGCCTTTCTTTATGCCACTCATGTAATTTCTTACATGAATTGTCAGGCAATTGAGGTTAGTCCAGTCCAAGTTACAATCAGCAAATGTTTTTTTTAATTGAGTATATCTTTTCCGGTAAAAGTGAAATACATGTTTTGTAGGTAAGAGAGCTCTTGTGTTAAGTTCTTTCGTCTTCCACACCTCTAATAAACAAAAGCAGTTGAGAGGTGGAACAGCTGTCCAGCGACTCATCCATTGCAATTGAAAAATGGCGAAACTTGCTTGCATTTTTTGCTTTTGAGTCACACTGTTTTCACCAATTTCTGCAACATGGCGGACAATTGTTTTGAATTTTCGGGGCAATGTTCCTCAACCACCTCCAACAATCTATTTTTTTTGGGGACAAAATGATCTCCGCGGACCAGATGAAAAGACCTCGCGGGCCGCATTTGGCCCGCAGGCCGTAGTTTGGAGACCCCTGATATAGATGACAAAAAGAATCAAAAATCTAAAAAGAAAATGAACAGCTAGTAGTATAAAACACAATAGTAATATTGACAGGAAGACCTGCCCTCCACATTGTTGATTGAAGAAAATTGACCACCTTAATTAGTTACCTTTGACCAACTTAATTAGTTACCTTTGACCAACTTAATTAGTAATCATTGACCAACTTAATTAGTTATCTTTGACCAACTTAATTAGTTACCTTTGACCAACTGTATTAGTTACCTGAAAGAAAGAACTGCTCCTCTACACTGTTGATAGAGGCCAGTTGACCACCAGCGGTCTGACAGGTTGTCTGCGCATCTGTCCAGCTCATCATGTTAATGTTTATCTGGTAGCAGTTGTCTGAGTTTGGGTCCTCCTCCCACCCTGCACCACAGTTCACACTAGGTGGAGCTGGCAGTAAAGAAAATTAATGTATAATAATACTTTTTTCAACAGCAATGTATGTATTACTTATAAACAAGTAAATAAAGATAAAAAGAGTGAGTATTAAATTATTATGATATCAGCAGAGGAGTAAAAAAAAATTGTTTCTTTGAATAAAAATAAAATTGAACAAGAGCATGTGTCTTTTAAAATAACAAATATGCACAACATAACATACAATTATATCTTTTAGAAACAATAATGCAGAACTTATAATACATTTTTCATTTTGAAAACAATGCACAACTTATCATATTGTGTTTTAAAAAACAATGCACCACTTATAAAGTTTTACTTACTCGTACGAACTACTGGTGTTACTCCATTTGTTACTATAATACAAAAGAAATTATACATATATTATTAAACATATGCATATATATGTATGTTTGACAAAATCAGACTGATGCTCAAATAAACTGAGTATAGGAAAGGTTTGTGAAAATCTTTAACTTCTTACAAGGCACATGCTGACAGATGAATCTGTAGAGGGTATCACATGGAGCGTCGTTCCACTTGTAGCCTCTAGACGCTGATAGAGAGGCACAGTTCTCATTTTGATTGGCATTGTTTGGTTCACCTGGAGCCCAAGATGTGAAGGCCGCCTTTGATTGGAAGTAAACAAAAGCCTCAGTTTCATAAATTAAATATGCATTTGTTTAGGAAAGTAAATAAAACTAGCTACCCTGAAGGTCTGACCATGTGTATATAAATTCAATGCCAAACTTTTTCTTAAGCAAAAGCTAGGTTGTTGTCTAGAAGCACAAGCTATTTAAGAGGTTTTATAAACTCCCTGGAATAATTGTGAATACATTAACACAGGAATTAGTAAGATCCTATACATAAGCATAAGTATTTTAATGACCTAAATCCCTGGCCTAGAATTAAAATCATTTTTAAATTTTTAATGGAAATATAAATACAAATTTTACGATAATGAATCCACTGTTACTTATAGCATACAAACTAATCAAGTCATCAAATTTAAATTGATTGAACTCCATCTACAACTAAGAAGCCTCCTTTTATTGATTCAATAGCATGTAAAGAGAAAGATCTTACTGTCGTAGTTTCATCAAGCCAACCGAATGCATTTTCTCTGCGTTGATCATTTAATCCAATCCAATAATCCCCTTGTAGAGAAGTCACTAACCCTATAGTGAAAGCATTAAAAAACTAGGGGTATATTAAAATTAATTGTATTAAACACTTCACATGGGCATTTTAAGTGAGCTGATTTTATTTCCTTAATTTTAATAATTAACACTGAGATTTTAAAAATACTACATAAACATAATAAGAAGTGAAATTATTAACAAATTATATCTTATTAACTCTGTATATTTTTGCATTATCTGGTCTTATTATTAACATGGCGATTTGGTATAACAGTAGCCTCCCCTGAAAAGTCTACAGGAGAAAAAAGCATTATGTTATAAAAACTGGTTGACAATAAAAAAAATATATTAAAATAATATACCATTAACAAAACCATTAAATTCACTGTCAGCAATTTTCACAAGGTCCCCTCCATTAGCTTTACAGTAGCCTCTTGCATCTGGCCATGTCTTCAAATTAGTGTTGAGTTGTAGACAAGTTCGTTTTTGTTGGTAAACTGTCCAACCCCCAGGGCAGAAGACAGGGGCTGAAGTAAAATAGAAGCCGCATATTATCAACAACAGAATAATGGAAATAGAATAATTGATCAACACATTTATTTAGGAACAACATATTTTGTTGTTTTTTTTAAGTATGTAGAAAATGAAGAAATATGACAATATTAATAAACATTTAACAGGTATTAAAAACAAGCCAAAAAATTATTTTGGACTTAATATTCTCATAAGTTATAATTGATTTTTCATATTTTAATACCTCTTTGACTATTTTTTAAAGTACTTAAAAAATCACCTTTTTATTTAAACAAAAAATTAACCATATGATAATGAAAATAGTTTTAAGATGAATCTGTGAAGAAAAAATTATTTGTATTTGTATTTGAAGTGTATTCAGCAATTGAAGTAAAATTTAGATTTTTTAAACAATAAAAAAACATTTTATTTCAACCAGTTTTAAAATGTTCTTGCAAAATTTAATAAGAATTGTAAATGAAAGATTGTATTTCACCTGGTGTGGTTGGTCTTGTTGTGATTTGTGCTGCAGCGTTGAAGTCCACTTGACATATTACAGCTTTAAGAGCAGCACAGGTAGTGGTTACATGCCACTTTGGATCAGCTTCAGCTATATTAACATTTATTATATATATATATATTTATTTTATATATGTGTGTGTGTGTGTATGTGTGCGTGTATGTGTGTATGTGTGTGTAGTTGATTTATAGATTTATGTAGTTTAACCAATGTGTACAAGACAAGAACATTATATACCAGTTACAAGATATCCACAGTCCAATCGGTTTAGTGTATTATTGAAGTTGGTGAAAAATGGCCTGTATGTACCAACAACTGGCCCTTTATCCCATCTCCATGGTCCATTATTTGTGTTGTTATCTGTGAAGATATTCAAGTTATGATGGATGAATTATTATTATAGTTTACATTTTGTTTGAACTTCATTATTAAATAAAGCATAGACTTAGCATAGCCATATTCCCGAATCCCTATTTATGAAATAAATAATATAGGCTAATAAATTAAATAGGCCCTACAATATTTTAAATAATAATTACTTAATTTGTAAACTTAATTGAGAATCGATATCTTATTATCATGATTATCTAGAATCTATTGATCTCATATCTTTTACTGAAAAAACTTTTTCCTCGGAAGTAGAATCTAGTTCAGGATCTAGATCTAAGAGCCTAGTTTTAGATCCATATGACAGCAGACATTTTGATTGGTTCACTTGACAGTCTCACCCAATCCCCACTCATCCTATCCGAAATGTAAGCAACTCACCTGTTAAACCGAACCAAAAAGAATCAGGGGCCGGCACAGTTGTTCTTGCACTTGCGATACGCGTCTTAAGTGCGGCGTGTGTCACCGTTCTAAAAACATTTAAATAGTAAATAATATGTTTACGAGATCTATGGCCTACTTTTTTGGCCTTATTTATAACACAGAAACACTATTTTAAGTATTTTAATAGGTTTAATAGTAATAAATAAACGAAGATGCGAGAAAGACTGCTAACTGCTACTAAAGACTCTCGTGAGCAAGTCTGCTTAAATGTATCTTCTGCCACCCCCCCCCCCTCCGCGAATCCGATCTGTTTCGTTGGTCTAGGTGGTATTATTAAATTTAATGAGACGTCCAGATTTATATTAGGCGTGGCCTTGAATCCGGTTTAGGAAAGTGAACGTCGCTGAGTCCACCCAGCCCTGATAAGTACCTATCTTCCGTTTGGGAATTTAAAGGCGGCTAAGCATGGTGCTCAATACACATGTGAACTCGGGTGTTGGGAAATTGCGAGACGCGAAAAGCGAAATGGCGAGGCGGGAAAATGCGAGAAGATAATGCGAGACATCTGCGGAATCAAGGGTAAATAGCGAGACACCTTTTGCGAAAAAAAAGTTTTTTTCAAGCTTTTTTCGTCTTTATTTATTTAGATTTTTTTTTTAAATAAACAAGCATGTAGCCATACCCTTTAACACGAGTGTTGTATGTTTTTATTTTTTATCTATATATATATATATATATATATATATATATATATATATATATATATATATATATATATATATATATATATATATATATACTAAGAAGATCTAGATCTATCTATTAAAAAATCCTAACATCGTTGCTGTGCTACTGTCATCGCCCGCTCTCGTAATCGAGAGGAAAATCCTGTCTCAGTCGGTATTAATTTAAAAATCTGCTCATGTTTATACAAACGTGAGCTGTGTCATTGTGAACTGGTATAATCTTGTCAGCAGGAGAGATATTCTGCAACATGTATTCATGGATTGTTGTACTTGCAAAAAGTGTAAAAGTATAAACAATTTTAAAACGTGTAATTTATTTTTTATTAAGTAATTTTAATTACAAACAAAATTTACAAACAAAATCTTCTGTAACAGTCCTAGTACTACTCAAACACACCTCGTGACACCATCTTTAACACATAGTACATCCAACCCAGTTCATTAGACTCCCATTTATACATTTTTCTTTGGCTACTTCTTCCAATCCACATTCACAACATGTCGCATTCTCATCACAGTTGACCTCCCCGTTCATCCCACACATAACACTGGCGGCGGCTATAATACAAAATGTATATGCAACAATACAAAATATGTTTGCGGTGGCAGCGGATTGGGGCACGGTGATCTTCACAGACGGTAAATCAGATGGCCTGGCATTCCACACAAAAGACAGAAATTGATCTATCGTCGTCGGTATTCCGGGCGGTTTCGAACTAGGTGGTATTCTAAGTCGACACAAAAGATGAGTGGAGTTCACAAATCATCAGTATGTCTACCGACGGAAAAATCGGAAGTTTTAACAATGTAAACGTCTTTGAAGTCTGCACCAAATACTACTGTAAATCGGTTGCGGTAAATTTTTCGCAGAAATCTTCGCATTTTAACACCATCCAGCGTAAGTATCGGGTTCTGGTAATATGCGAGACAAAAAGTCACGTGACCGACCGTTTTTGCGCCCTTCTAGCATTTTCCCGCCTCGCCATTTCGGGGAACTCTACGAATCGCCAGGTTTGAAAAGTGAACTATAATTTATGAATTTACCGGGGTTTTTTTTTCTCTTTACATTACGTTCATTACTTTCTCTCATACAGAGTGAGCGGGGCGGACACTTGTAAAAGTAGGCCTATATATTTTCTATATAAATTCTATTTCGTTCTCTCCGAAGAGATGTCTGAAAGAAACTCTGGCAAAATGTAAGAAAAAAACTGTTCACTCACGACAAATCTCTGGCTAGATAACCAGGTGGTTGTTGGTGTGCGCAGTACGACTGCGCAGCAGCGAAGGTTTGTCTTACCGCTGGGAAAAGCCTGTAGCACTGCGCTGCAGTCCCCGTACCTACGGTTAACCATCCACCGGGACATGCAGATACTGTGGAAGAGATTGTTTTAATTATTGAAATTGGACTACTCTTTTACTGCTGATCTAGAAAGGTCTACTTCTCTTCCCGGATCGTGTCCAGATAACGTAAAAAGTGTACGAGCGAAAAGTTAAGCCCCGCCACGTTTTTACAATATTAAACCTAATCGACCAAAGCAACCTTGACCTATTTCTGATGTCTAGACATATTTAAACGCACGCCATAAAAACAACTCCTGTATCCGAATCTAGGGTTAGGGTTGGGTTAGTGTTAAAATCTAAAAGTGCAAGTTTCATAATAATATCCTCTTTTTAAATATTTTTTTTGGTGGCCGGACAGAAAGACGATAAATAAGGCTAGCACCCCCCCCCTCCCCCCACACAAGAGCCCTAATAAATGACTGCCTTACTTATTATATTCAGTTATCACCAACGAGTTCATTTTCTAAATTTTCAATGTTATAAAACTACAATTTTTTATTTATAATTTTTTTATTATATATATATATATATATATATATATATATATATATATATATATATATATATATATATATATATATATATATATATATATATATATATATATATATATATATATATAATGTATACATACATATATATATATATATATATATATATATATCCTAATTTATAAAAGGCCATGTGCGCTCTTCTCTCTCTCTCTCTCTTTCTCTGTCCGCAAAAAATTTTCGCCGGACATCACGTCAGAATCGGCAGCGATATATCGAGAACTTTTTACGGACTTTTGTTGAAAATAATATGTTAGATGTTTTAAATGTATAACCACAATTTTAGTTAAAGAAGAAAAATAAAAATTAAAGGCGTATTCGAATGTAGAGAAACAGTATTATTTATGCAACCGGAAAAGCATTAATAGATGTGAAAAAGAACGCATAAAACTGTGACGTCACTATTGCTTATACATTAACTAATGACGTCATCTGCCGTGTTTAGAATGAAAAGAAATGAACTATTTCATTCAAATTTGATTTAGATCTACGTACACTATGAAATGTATACAATACAATTTTTCCGGCCTAAACTCATAAAATTTATTTTATGTATTTGGATTCTAGATCTAGAGATTCTAGATCTAGACTAAATCTAAATCTACGCAATAACTAGATCTAGACGTAGACGCTAAGATCTAGATTTACTGATTTAGACTCTAACTTCTCTAAAATCAATTCCAAAAATAAATTTCTATACTAGGACTAAACTATTTCAAGACTTATTTATTTTATACAAAATCTTTGTTTGGAACTGGCTAATTTGGGATAAAAAAATTAATTTGAAAAATAGGCATATTCGCGTAAGTTAAGATTTTAAAATACGTGTTTCATTCTCCGTACTTTATAAGGTGCCTAAATAGCGGAGATGTTAGTGTACATTAAACCACGCAGGTGGTGCGGGTTCGAGACACACCAAGTCAACTTGGTTAATGTATTTTTTTTTTATTATGCTCGGGCTAAACTTTAAAAAAAATTCTTTTAGGAATCTAGATCTAGATCTAGATTGTCGGGTGTCCGGCACTTCCCGGCGCCGCAGGCGCTTCAAATTTGGCAGGACCTTGCCTTGGGGCGACAGAACACGGGGGCCGGTTGGCCGAAAAGTCTACGATGAGGGGGTCAAAACTGACATCGACTGACCGGTACCTTATATGAGCTATAAATTTTAAAAAAATGTCCACGGAGGAACCTCTTCATAACTCTTGAGGTCGTAGACCGACCCTCGGGCGAATTAATTAAGCATTCAAATTCTCAATGTTTTCGAAAGCCTAAGCGAAGCTGGGCAGCATGCCTAATATATATATATATATATATATATATATATATATATATATATATATATATATATATATATATATATATATATATATATATATATATATATATATATATATATATATATATAATTGAAAACTTACCCCTCACCACCCCTTCTGAATAAAAACCCTTCCCACGCCACTGCCTGATACTCCCAATCACAGCTATACCAGCAGAAATATATTTTTTTTCAAATCTCTATAATAATTCATTGCCTTAAGAGGTTGCGGCTTAAGTCAAGCGGAACAACTTCTTAACGGTGATTATAGAGCTCAAGTAGTCTGATCCGTTGATGTTATCGTCCACATCACTAGAGGCCTTGTCATTCATGCAGCCCATCTTTTTTTTTTCAAGACAATACTTCATTATCCTTTTTCTTCCTTGTTGGCTTAAACTTCAGTGCTTTCTAATAACTTTGCTGTTTAATTTTCTGGGTAAATTATGTTCTCTTCACCCCCATTTCCTTTTAGTATTTCTTTCTTAACTGTTTTTGCTCTACTGATTTCCCATGAGCGAGTATTTGAGATCGTCAAATCATTATGGCGCCCGGGGCGAACTATCATTGTCAAGATTTAAATAAAAGCATTGGTCGATAAAATGGGTAGTAGATTTCACGTGGGACCAATGCTTTAGTCAATGAAAACCCGTTTTTTTTTCTTACTGTCAATTCATTTAGAAGCGTATTATTTAAAAGGTTGTTTTTTTTTTTTTTTATTTTAAAAGTGTATTGAATAAATTTAGAAGAGAAGCTGTTTCCAAATATGCGTCAATATATTGGACTAAGTGTTTTTTAGTCAAAAGTGTAACCATAAACCTCAGAGGAGTCAGAGCCCCCTCCCCCCTTAAAGGGAGCGAACTGCCAGTGGGAAAAAAGGTTGAAATTTAAAGAAAAAGATCTTTCTTCTTCGTTCTTAATTGTAATGTTGGAAGGGATTTTCTCCAACTCATTTAAGTAATTTTTTAATTGTGTCAACAGTGGCTGAAAAGATGCGCAACGAAAAATAGGCAACGGAAAAATGTGCACAAAAAAAGTGCGAAACGACATTTTTGCTTTCTTAAATCAAGCATTTATAGACATTAACAAAGAGTGACTGCATGTACATAATAGCATGATAAACCATATATCCACGAGATGTGACAAAATTAAAGTGTAATTAGTTTTGTATTAGCAGAGGCGTAGCGACCCTTCACGGCGCCCGGGGACAAACTTTTCGATTTGCACCCCCTCCCTCGAGATTTCGTTTTGCACCCCCCTCAAACTTTCGATTTGCACCCCCCCCCCCCTCGAGATTTCCATTTGCAACCCCCCCCCCCCCCTCAAACTTTCGATTTACACCACCCACAACCTTTCAATTTATCTTTCCAACCCATTTTGGCGCCCCCTAAGGTCGGTGCCCGGGGACATATGTCCCGCCCCGCCCCCCCCCCCCTCGCTACGCTACTGTGTATTAGCGCATTTTTCCGTTTGCACTATTTTCCGATTGCGTATTTTTCTGGGAAGCGTGTCACCTCGTGAGCCATATAGACCGCTGACTATTTTCTGGATTAAGAAAGGAAATAAAAGCACCCGATACATTGCAAATGACAAACGTTTGTGTCGTAACACTGTTCACACAACTACAATAACATTGATAACAAAAAACTATAATTCTACAAGCGATAGTGCAATTAATAGTAATAAGAAGATCGAGAATTTTTTTCTTATGTAATCTTTAATAGATTTGTAGGAATAATACTCGTACCAACTAGTTCTCTTCGGTCACACAGCTAAACGTTACGATTACTTAACATTGATCTTACATCTTTGATAACTGTACACTTAACTTATATAATTTAATTGATACGCCTTTTTTGATCAGTTTCAACAAAAAGAGAACAAGTGCAATGGTGATAATATTTATTTTCATTGATAGCGTATTGTTATCTTGCTAATATCTGACGTACTCGAGTACCGAATTTATCCGCCTACATTTTTAAAAATACAGTGCTCGGATTCTTGTTTGCATTTTAGGTAGATAACAAATCCATACAAAACCAGATTTGACTCTTTTTGCGAAGTTAATTTGCGATTTGGGTATTAAATGTATCAATAGTTAGAACATTTGCTATCTTTTAAATTAGGTAAATTAAAACTAAAATCGCTATTTTAATTTTAAATATTTTTTAAAAAAATTAAATGTAAAATATAGCCCGCTTTTAGTCACTTTATATAAACTTACTAAGAAGGTAGCTAAATAAAACAAGTTAGAGAGGACACATTATAAATTTTAAAGCTCTACCTTAGGGGTCGTCCATAAATGGCGTCACACTCGTAGGGGGGAGGGTGGGTCCGTAATTATGTGACGGTGTGTGATGAGGGGGAGGGGGGGAAGGTTCAGATAGTGCGACGTCGCACTTTTGGATTATAAAAAAGCAATGTTAGGAAACGAATTTTAGACGTTATTTCGCGTTTTAGAAAACTGTTTTAATAAATTGTCATAGAAATTGATTAAAATACTCTATGTTTGACAAAGTTTGGACAAGATTTTCGAAAAATATCTGTTTTAAGAAAAATTCAACAGTTCAGACAAGATTTTAGAAAAATAACGATGTTTAAAAAAAAATTCAACTGCAATTTTGAGGGGGGTTGTAGGTTAAGGTGTGACGTCATTTTAGGGGGGGGGGGTCTGGCTTTTTGTGACGACGTGTGACGGAGGGTAGGGGGGAGGTAAAAATCGTCAAAAAAGGCGTGACGTCATTTATGGATGACCCCTTAGGCTTCGCACTCTCTTCTGATACTGATAGTTAAATCTATTTGCATGGTATGAAATGAGCTCAAGGCTAAACGATATTTCAATGCTTTCAGTCGCAACTTCGTGAGTTTTGGGGTGGAATTAGATCCAACGAATCAGCAACTAAGTCAACCTACTGATGAATAATAAGTGTACATTAAATTCTCGAGACAAATGTACAACTCATAGAATGAGATCCCTCTTTAAAATATGAATTTCATGAGTGAGATCCCTCTTTAGTTTAATCTAAGAATTTCATCTGTGAGGTCCCTTTTAATTAAGGATGAGGGGTTCACAGCTGTTTATTTACCCTTCCTGTCACGCCTACTACAAGATGTGAGTTATGTAACCTTTCTATTATGTAACCCAATCACTCCTCCTCCCCCTTTAAATGACACTAAAAGTATTCTCTTTAGTCTGTACGCGTACAATTTTATCTTTAAAAAAACTTTTTTATAATAACAAAGTTGTAGTTTAATTATTTTAAAAACACTTTTATTTGAAAACAAACAAACAAATAAAAACTTACACGCATGCTGAAAGCTGACAACACAACACAATAAAGTGAACACAAATCTGCCGGACACTGCCATGACACCTGTCTGACTGACAGCGATCACTCTACCGGTAGCCGCAGGTCATCGAAGCAGGTCTCCTAATTCTTTATCTTACCTTTTTTTTTACCTGATTGATTAACAATTTGTTATCACCGACACGCCAGGTAATTTACTGTAAAACTTTCGATTGTTGGTACTCATGTTTTTTTGTGAACATAGGTCTAGAGATTAGATTTGCCATATTTATCATGCGAGCAGCGTTTAAAAATATTTTAGAGTAATTACTCAAATGGACATTTTTATTATTTAAGTACTATCAGTCTCCAGTGTTTGATTTTATAGACATACCATTTCATCTAACCCACTAACCAAATGCAGTCCCTGCCTCCACTTCCACTTTAACGTCTTTAAAATGCTTGAATAGGGTTATTGACAAACTTTTTTCATGAACCAACAGCAAATCCCTATCAGTAACAAATCGAGCTCTTAAATAGAATTCATGCCTCTAATTTTAGAATTGTTGATAGGTTGATATAAACAGTCGAGCACAGAAGTTGAAATTATTCTAATGGAACGTGTGTATGTTTACATATTGCGCGTTTTTTTTTCTTGACATGTATAGGAGGCCTGGACATGTCGCAAGTGTAAACAGAGTTTCTTCCAGGCATCTCTCCAGGGGGGGGGGGGGGAAAGAGAGAGAGAGGGGGGGGGGGGGGTGAAGAAAGTCGACCCCCCCCCCGAACGAGATGGAATTTATATAGTAAAAATATACTTTTACTAGTGTCCGCCCCCCCCCCCCCCCGAACATATCAAGTACCCCCCCCCCCCCCCGGGAGAAAAAAGTCTGGAAGAGATACTGAGTGTAAACGCGGTGTTGCAGGATGTTTTGTTGTGGTAACCTACAAAATGACTGAAGTTTAATGTACCGCATGGAAAACTCTCCATACAGCACACAACCGACTCATTTGATGGACGTTATAACTAAAAGTAAAGTAAAGATTCCTCTTTAGACCAAACTATCCATTGGCCAGATGAAGTGGAGTTCATATGAAGGGATAATGTGGTCAGCACTATGCCCAGCCGCCTTTACTTTCCCATCAGAGTTGGGTGGGAAGTTCCAGTAACTTGAACCCGGATTCGAACTCGAAACTATCGAGTTAGCAGTCTAGCTCTCGAGAGCTAGGCCACGCCGTCCCATACGTTATAACTATAGATGATCCTTAACTGCCTTAATTTTTTAAAAAAACAACATACTGTTTCTCATACTAGATAATTAATTATTTTTAGCAAATGCAGAAAACTCAATAATGAATATTAATATTGTAACACAACAAACAGATAAAATTACATTTAAAATTACTCAGCTACAATCGCAGTTGAAGTCTTCTTGGATTCTTGGCTAATTCACCAAGTATCTCATCAGCTAAAACTACGATTTCTCTGTGAATATTTTTTTATAATTCCAAACCATTTAGTCAGTGGCGTAACGAGGTCGGGTGTCACCCGGTGCGGCACTTAAGGTTCCCAGAAAGAACCGCAACGGAAAAAAGCGCAACGGAAAAAAGCGCAAATCAAAAAGCGCAACGGAAATAAGCGCACACGGAAAAAAGCGCAAAGAGAAAAAAGCGCACACAGAAAAAAGCGCAAAGAGAAAAAAGCGCAAACGGAAAAAAGCGCAAAGAGAAAAAAGCGCACACAGAAAAAAGCGCAAACAGAAAAAAGCGCAAACGGAAAAAAGCGCAAAGAGAAAAAAGCGCACACGGAAAAAAGCGCAAACAGAAAAAAGCGCAAACAGAAAAAAGCGCAAAGAGAAAAAAGCGCAAACGGAAAAAAGCGCAAACAGAAAAAAGCGCAAACAGAAAAAAGCGCAAAGAGAAAAAAGCGCAAACGGAAAAAAGCGCAAACAGAAAAAAGCGCAAACAGAAAAAAGCGCAAACGGAAAAAAGCGCAAACGGAAAAAAGCGCAAACAGAAAAAAGCGCAAACGGAAAAAAGCGCAAACAGAAACAGAAAAATGCGCAACCAGAAAAAACACAACGAAAAATGTGCAAAAGAGAAATTTAGCACAAAGACCATATGGACTAGATGACACATTTATACATGACTGTTAGGGCTGCTGTGAGAGTGTCGTGTTTGATCACGTGATCTACTACCATTTAAAGCGTACCACTACCATCTGCATTCCCATCACCACGATACAGGCGATAATCACTTTACACAATGCCTATTATTTTCTTGGTCAATAATTATTCAACTACTATTCTCGTATAAACATAAAACTATCGACATTACACGAAGTATCTTTCACATTCTCCCTAGTCCGAACTACCTAGCTTGCATACTATAACAACCCGTTCCTATGGCAAAACTTCACTCTCTTTCATCCGCGTCATCAAACATGCATTCGTCATATCTCTCGTAACAATATATATATATAATATATATATATATATATATATATATATATATATATATATATATATATATATATATATATATATATATATATATACCGAGGGGTCTATTGGGGGGGGGTTATGACCCCCCATAACCCCCCCCCCCCCCGCCTACGCCACTGCATATAAGTATTCGCATAGATTCAGAGTAGCGTCCCTTTTGTTTACATGTTTTCATTACCCTTCAAACAAAAGTCTATTTTAGTTATATTGAGATTAAAGAATGTAAATAAATAGTATATACAATTCTGTAGAATAGGAACGATTGGGAGGGAAGTGACATTTAGCGCAGTAAATTTAGAGGTTAGGTAGGGTATAATAAATGGTGGGGTTAGGAAAGTTAAGGGGTCCATTCTCTAATAGGCAATCTATGTCTCTTTCGTACTTTCGTGTTGGTTTATTGTCGAACCTGTCCTCACCTCACATCACAACAGTTGGGTGACGCTTACCGTGTAATGTTAAAATAAATAGCATGTAATTGAGTTAGTTCGAAGTGAGTTTTCATACAAGCCCAACGCACTAATTAAGGTTGTCGCAAAATGTAACATATATGTAACATATGTCAATGAATTTTCATTAAAAAAAATGATGGCTAGTACAGTTTACGAAACTTACGAACTTCGCCGATACTTTTTTGGTGGGTAGTTTGGTAAGTATGTAGGCGGGTAGGTGGGTAAGTGGGTAGGTGGGTAGTTAGGTAGGTAGGTAGGTAGGTAGGTAGGTAGGTGGGTAGTAGGTAGGTAGGTAGGTGCGTCATGATGTGAAAAAATATTAAATACAAAATTGTTATTTTGGTGCGAATGAATGTTGTTA